TTTATGATCTAGTGCGGACCGTGGACGTCCCTCGTGCTGCTTCTCCATGTGGCGCCTCAGCGACGACTGCAGCGTGAATCTTCTGCTGCATACTGAACAGCTGTAAGGTATCAGCCCCGAGTGCGAAAGGAGCTGAAAGGGTTCTCCCCTGTGTGCTGGTTCATGTGCTCTTGCAGCTGCTCCTCGTGTGCGAACGCCTTCTGACACACGGAGCAGATAATAATAATAATAATAATACATCAGTTTTATATAGCGCTTTTCAAGAACTCAAAGACACTTCACAAATTCATGACACAAACACACACAAACACGGCCTCTTCGCGGTGCTTGCGCCTGTGGCTTTGTTGCAGACTGAGCAGCTGTAAGGCCTCTCCTCTTTGTGCATTCTGACGTGGACCACGAGGCCACTCTTATGGGCAAAGGCTTTCTTACAGACTGAGCAGCTGTAAGGCCTCTCCTCTGTGTGCATTCTGACGTGGACCACGAGGCCACTCTTATGGGCAAAGGCTTTCTTACAGACTGAGCAGCTGTAAGGCCTCTCCTCTGTGTGCATTCTGACGTGGACCACGAGGCCACTCTTATGGGCAAAGGCTTTCTTACAGACTGAGCAGCTGTAAGGCCTCTCCTCTGTGTGCATTCTGACGTGGACCACGAGGCCACTCTTATGGGCAAAGGCTTTCTTACAGACTGAGCAGCTGTAAGGCCTCTCTCCTGTGTGGACTTTACTGTGTGAGTCAAGAGCACTCTTACGGGAAAACCTCTTGCTGCAGACAGAGCAGCTGTAAGGTGTCTCACCGGTGTGGATTCTCACGTGTCGTTGTATGTCACTTTATGTCACTTTTATCGCTTTTCTACAAAAAGGACAGTCGTAGGTTTTCCAGACTCTGGGCACAGATCTTTTAGTGGACTCAGGAGAAGACAGGTTGTTAGAGGAAGAAGAAGAAGAAGAAGAGTCTGTGTCTTTGTCAGTCTCTGAAGACGACTCTCCCTCAGTCTCTGAGTGGAACAGTGGCTCTATGCCGAGCTCCTCTCCTCTTCTTCTGTCTTCACACACACAGTGATGAACTCTGGGACCGACCTGAGAAAGATTCAAACAGCATCATGTAACTCAGCCACGTTGTAAGACACGGCCAGTTTATTAGTATAGCACAGTTTAAAGCCATGAACAAAACCAGATGGAAACATCAACAAAACTGTTTTAACCTCGATTTGAACATTGTCAGAGAAGAAGCCTGTCTCACATTTTCAGGAAGATGAATCTGAAACGCTCCCTCCCCATGTTTGACATGTGTGACATCACCACAGTGTGACATCAGTGTGACATCACTGCAGTGTGACATCACAGTGTGACATCACCACAGTGTGACATCACCACAGAGTCACATCACCACAGAGTGACATCACAGCAGTGTGACATCACAGCAGTGTGACATCACCACAGTGTGACATCACAGCAGTGTGACATCACAGTGTGACATCACCACAGTGTGACATCACCACAGAGTGACATCACCACAGTGTGACATCACAGCAGTGTGACATCACCACAGTGTGACATCACAGCAGTGTGACATCACCACAGTGTGACATCACAGCAGTGTGACATCACAGCAGTGTGACATCACAGCAGAAGAGTCTTATTTGAACATAAGCTGGAGCCAGTTTCCTTATATGGGCATTAGTTCTGACAGTGTTAACTTGGCGCCGAAAAACAGGGCAGACGTGTTGCTAAGACGGTTGCTAAGGCGAGCTGGAGTTTCCCCCTGAATGAAGGCCTCTGATTGGTCAGTCCTTATATGGTCATATCTCTAAATACGAGCCGTTCATACGTCTGCGTAGGTGAGTAATGATGACTGAAGCTTTTCCAATGTATCCACTGATTTTCTTGTATTTTTAATGAAAATCGAGTCATCATCAACTCACAAGATGGCTGCCGCTGACGCTGATGTCTGCTCTAGAACTTTAAAACTACCTAAACAATAGATGTTCACCTGATTTAAATCGTCAGAATCACATTTATCACATTATGTTGCTGTTTGTTTTTTGTATCGGTCCAAGTTTATTCCTGAATGACTCTCACTGACGTCCTCCGTTCATCAGTGATAGGTGTGCAGAGCCCAGAGCGCAGTTTGGCCGCGGAGCAGACAGTGTTGTGTTCAGTGATCAGTGTGGTACATACGGGTCCCCAGGGGCCTCCTCTGGCTCCTGCTTCACCCTCACAGCCTCCATCAGCTCCGGGTTCCTCTGCTCCTCCTCTGCGGTCCTCCTCACGTCCTCCTCCTCCTTCACTGACATTTGTACAGTGTTTTATTCTCGTTAACAGCTAACACACGTCCTCCTCAGAGAACACACGGAGCTGCTGCTGCCTTCACGGACCCAAGGACAGTTCTACGTCATGGTGCTACGTCCCTTAGCGGACTTCGCTAGTGGGATATCACGTGACCCCCAGGTCACAGACGCCAGAGAGATCAACAAAAAATGCTCCAATCACTAGCCACCCTCCTCTATAAAGGCCCCTGCACAAAGCCGCGCTCCCTCTTTCACTCTGGCGCCGATTGAGATCTACCACAGTACTCACTTCATTCTAGAGATGTCTTCTGCTGTTCGTCCGAGTTCCCCTTCGCCCTCCGGCGTCGGACGTCGTCGTTGCTCGGAGTGTCGAGTAAGGCTCCAGCGCACGGACCAGCACTCCAGCTGCTTCATGTGCCTGGGCCCGGGCCATGCGGCGTTGAGCGCTAGCTGCGCCTCGTGTCTCGCTCTCCCCAGGGAGGAGAGCGAACGCAGGCGTGCGTTCTTCGTCGCTGCAGTGCCCCGTCCGGACTCCTCTCAGGACGAGGAGTCTGAGACTGACTGGGCCCCACTCGACCTTCCACCCGTGCCCGCGGAGTGGGGTGGCTGCGAGGACGGAGAGGCTTCGGAGATCGGCTCCCTCCTCACCCTGGACGAGGTGGTCTCGAACCCGGAGCCGGACCGCTTTCCACTGGACCACATGCCTGGGCTCTACTCCTCCGCGGCGGCCATCATGGATGCTCCTCTGCCACCGCAGCCGATCCAGAGGGTGGAGGACTTCACCTCTGTGGGCACCACCGCTCGAGGGAGGAGGAGGATACAGCCCACGTTGTGCCCGCGGATGGACCCGATCGTCCATTACGCAACACGTGAGTGGCCAAAGCCCCTAGCAGCCAAGAGGCCTGCTCTGGGGTACGGCATGTACTGCAGCGGGCAGGACTGGTCCTGGACCGGCGGAGTCCCGGACATCGAGGATTCGGTCCGCATGGCCCTGCAGCCCTCTGCATCCGTGTGGCCCGGCACCAGACCTCTCCTTCCCTCCGAGCGGGACAGGATGTCGTTGGCTATGCTGGATAGATGTTACGCCAATGCGGCACAGGTCGTCGCATTGGCAAATAACGTGGCATCACGGGGGCTCTGGATAGGTCGCTCTCCTCTGGCCAGGCGCTCAGTGGAGACCTCCTATCGCAGGCGAGGACCACCTCGGCGGCGATCCTGCGCATGTGCCAGGCGCTAGCTGTGGATGGCGGCCGCTCTATGGCAGCAGCTCAAGTCGGGGCCAGGCACCTTTGGCTTGGGCTAGCTAACATCAGGGAGGCGGAGAAGAGGCAACTGCTGGACCTGCCCGTTTCCCAGACGTCCCTCTTCGGCCCGGACATGTAGGCCTTGGTGGCGAGACTGGAGTCTGCAGCCAACGACTCGGCTAGGCTAGCCCCGCACCTAGCACCGAGGCGCGAGGCCCGCCCACCATCACGGAGCCGGGACAGAGACAGAGAGCGTTCGCCCGGGAGGCGCCCTGACCCATATCCACGCTCTGTGGTCCATCGTCCCCCCTCGACGAGGCCCCCGGGTCCAGACAGACCCACGGGTGGCTCGCGGGAGCAACGCACCCACCGCCGGCCTCCCTATGGCAGAGGAGGTCGGGGTGGAAAGAATTTTTTCAATAAAGGCCGACCGGCATTTCATTAGTACTCGTTGTCTGAGTCTCATTTGGGGGTACGTAACATGTCTAATGTGAAATCTGATTGTGTTACTTCCCAGGCACATAACGTTGCGTCGCTAGGCCTGCAGCCCCCAGAGCAGGGTGTGCAGTGCGCTACGCGAGCTACGAGCTCCGGTTCACTGATCCATGCTATGCCCTCCCAGAGAGAGATCAGGCGGAGGGATCCGGTGAGTAATGATGTGTGTGCTTCGGCTGAAAGCGTGTTAGCATCTCTGAGCTACAAGGCTAACACGGGGTTTCCCACTCCAGGGGCTCGCCCCCCCCTCCATGAGGCAAGAGCCAGGGGGGGGCGCAGCAGTCGAGTCACATGTGGTGAGCAGACCCGTTCTTAGGACGTCGGGCCTGCAGGACACGTGACCGCCCCCGGCGCTCACGGTGTGACGCAGGGGGCCCCCCGGCCCTTTCGGCCACCCCCCCTCCCTGCTAGGAACACCAGGAGAGGGCGGGGCCGTGACGTCTCGTGTTCCAGCTCCCGTTCCGCCCCTCACAGACTTCTACAGCATCTGGAGGGAGCAGGGATTGCTGACGGATCCATGGCTGGAGAAAACTCTGCGCAGAGGTTACGCACTGCAATTCTCCCGAAAGCCACCACCATTCCGAGGCGTACGGGCAGCACGCTCTCAGGTACGGGGATCGATAGAGGCACTACAAGCGGAGGTCTCCTCTCTGCTGAGTCGAGGCGCAGCAGTGGAGGTAGACCCACAGGACGCCACCAGGGGGCTGTACTCCCCTTACTTCTTAGTGCCAAAGAAGTCAGGCGGGGTGCGTCCCATTCTGGATTTGCGCGTTCTGAACGAGTGCATTTCCAAACGGCAGTTTCGGATGCTGTCCACAAAGCAGCTCCTCGAGTGTGTCAGGCAGGGAGATTGGATGTCCTCCATAGACCTGACAGACGCTTACTTTCACGTGCCGATAGTTCCGGAACACAGGAGGTTCTTGCGCTTCGCAGTGGGAGAGAGGAATTACGAGTACTGCCATCTCCCCTTCGGCTACGCACTCGCGCCTCGGACCTTCTCCAAATGCGTGGAGGCAGCACTGGAGCCGCTCAGACGCGCAGGGGTAAGAATATTAACCTACATAGACGACTGGTTAATTCTGGCCTCATCCAGGGAAGTGGCCGTGAGCCACACGCACTGGGTCCTGTCCCACATACAGCGCCTGGGCTTTGTGGTAAACAGGGAGAAGAGCAAGCTGCAGCCGGCTCAGCGCATGATCTATCTCGGCCTGCAGCTAGACTCTGTGACATTCCGTGCTGCATTGTCCGAGGACAGACGGAGGAACATTACCCGTCTGGCCCGGGAGGTTCTGGCGGGCCCCAGAGTCCCCGCTCGGCGCCTCAGGTCCCTGCTGGGGATGATGGCGGCGGCTCATGCTGTGGTGCGACTAGGCCTTCTCCACATGAGGAATTTTCAGAGGTGGTTCTCACGCCTCAGGCTTCACCCCTCCCGGGACGGGGGGAGGCTTATCTGGGTTCCCCAAGTGGCAGCATCGGACATCAGGTTTTGGCTCACTCCGGGTCTGTTGCGGGACGGAGTGACTCTGACCTGCGCCGTGTCTCACGTGGAGGTGTTCACGGACGCGTCACTCGAGGGTTGGGGCGGGGTCCTCGGCCAGAGCTCTGTAGGAGGCTGCTGGTCGGACTCAGCCCGCCACATCAACCTTCTGGAGATGGAGGCAGTGCACAGGGTACTGCTGCACTTTGCTCCTCAGCTGCAGGGGAGACACGTGATGGTGCGCTCAGACAACACCACAGTGGTCTCCTATCTGAACAGGCAGGGGGGCACCAGGTCCCCCGCTCTCCATCGCATGGCGACGGTGACGCTGCTGTGGGCAGCGCTTCACCTTCTGTCTCTGAGGGCGCGCCACGTCCCGGGGGTCCGGAACGTGGGGGCCAACAGGATGTCCAGGGGGGGCCCACTCCAGGACGAGTGGGGCCTGGCCCCACAAGTAGCTGCGGAGGTCTGGCGGAGGTTCGGTCGTCCAGTGGTCGACCTTTTCGCTAGTGCAGAGAACGCACAGTGCCCGTCCTGGTTCGCCTTAAGGGCCGCGGACGAGCCGCCCTTAGGCGTGGACGCTCTGGCTCATTACCCCTGGCCAGGGGGCCTGCTGTATGCCTTCCCACCAGTGCGTCTCCTGCCGGTCCTGCTGCGGAGGATCGAACAGGAGAGGAGGTCGGTGATCCTGGTGGCTCCGGACAGTCCGCATGCCCGGTGGTTTCCCTTCCTGAGGGGCATGGCGGTGAAGGAGCCCTGGGCTCTAGTCCAGGGGGGGGGGGGCCCTGCTTTCACGCCCGATGATCTGGGTTTGGAGGCTGAGAGGTGGAACCTCGTAGACCTGGGTCTTCCCCCGGCGGTGGTGGAGACCATTCAGGGGGCGAGGGCGCCGTCCACTGTGAGGGCCTACGCCACGAGATGGAGGCTCTTCAGCGACTGGTGCGGTTCTCGCTCCTGGGATCTGGAGGGAGTCCTGGGATTCCTACAGGAGCTTTTTGACAAAGGGAGGGCTGTCGCCACCTTGGCGGTGTTCGCGGCAGCCATTACCTTGGGTCACGACGGATTCGGGGGGTTCACAGCCCGCTCTCATCCGTTGGTTAAACGTTTTCTGCGGGGGGCGCACAGAAGGAGGCCCCCGCTTCAGAGAACGCCCCCGGTTTGGGACCTCAGGGTGGTCCTTAGGGGTCTGTCGGGCCCGCCGGTTCAACCGGCGGCGGAGGCGAGTCCCGAGTGTGTTGCTTTTAAGACGGCCCTCCTGCTGGCGTTGGCGTCTGCCAAGAGGGCGGGCGACTTGTGTGCGCTCTCTGTCCATGCGTCTTGCCTGTCCTTTGGAGAGGGCGACGGCCTGGTGGAGTTGTGGCCCAATCCGGCTTTTCTCCCTAAGGTCATCACGTCGGCCTTCAGGTCGAGAGTGATCAGGATCAGGGCATTCCATCCGCCGCCGCATGCCTCCCCCGAGGAGGAGCGGCGGCACCTTCTGTGTCCTGTCAGAATGCTTAGGCATTACCTGGCCATGACGTCTTCATTCAGGTTGGGTGGTCAGCTGTTTGTGTGTCTGGGCCCCAAGAACAGGGGCGCCCCGTTGTCGGCTCAGCGGCTGGCGCACTGGGTCGCCACGGCTGTGCGGCGGGCGTATCAGGCTCAGGGTCTGGCCCTCCCGGTGGGCTTCAGGTTGCATTCCACGCGTGGGGTGGCGGCCTCTACGGCCCTCCTCAGGGGGGCGTCGGTCGAGGACGTGTGCCGTGCGGCTTCTTGGGCGTCGTCCTCTTCTTTCGTCCGGTCTTATCTTTTGGATGTGTCGGACCGGTCGGTGGCCCATTCCGTGCTGAGTGCAGCGGACTGAGTTGAAACCGTTAGGTCCCTCCTCTGAGGGGGCCTTCGGTTGATTTTCCGCCCTGGTTCAGGAGCTCTTGGGAGTGGCGTCCTGCAGGTGCGGTATATGTGTGCTTTTGGTCAGTCAGGTAGTCCACGTCAGGAGCTCTTGGGAGAGGCGTCCTGGGACTACGGGTGACCTACGGTCTGTGTTACTTGGGGGTATCCTTGGTAGGAGTGGCCCTGTAACACGCAATTGCTTCTTCTGCCCTGAGTCCTCTCACTGTGTGAGGGTCTTGCTCGGGCGGAGCTCCAATCACTTTTCGCTGGCCTGCTGGGAGTACATGTTCCTACGGCCTCCGCGTTGTGTCCCACTAGCGAAGTCCTAAGGGACGTAGCACCATGACGTAGAATTAATAGTTACCTAATGTAACTTAAGTTCTACGAATAGGTGCGTAGTCCCTAAAGCCTAGTTTATACTTGCGCGGCGCGGAGCTTACGGAGGTGACGTGACGTCACTTGCGCAACGCGTTGGTCACCGCAAGGCCCTTACGTCGCCTGCCGCGCAGCATCGAAATTTTCTAACTACGTAAGGGTCGCCGCAAGGAATCTCCGCTGTGATTGGTCCGTGTGTGAGAGAAGCTCCGCTGTGATTGGTCCGTGTGTGTGTATTGGAAGGAAGCACGGAGCGGCTGCAGCAGGAGCATGGACGAGGCACTATGGAGCAGAGAGCTTTGTGCTTCGAAGGAAAAGTAGTTTGGGCTCAGAGCCTGATATACAGGAGACTGTGGACTATCTAACATATATATAACTTATATCTAACATATATATAACTTATATCTAACATATATATAACTTATATCTAACATATATATAACTTATAAACTGTGCAGTCGTTTGTTTTGCACTGTTCCTGTCTTTGTTTGAATCGTAGCTGCGTTTGTTGCTTTCCTCCTGCACTCGTAAATCGTTCATGTTTGTCTCAGATATTTACCACTATTATTGTTTTGCTGTTTGTGCTGAAAACGATTTAATAATAACTATGTTTCCAACAAGAACTGTGTCTTTATTCACAGCATCACAGTTGAAAGAACTTATAAAATAATGAATCCATAAAACTATCACATAAACATATCACAACACATAAAGGTCACTGTTGGTGGCAGAGCATTTAGCTACCAAGCTCCTTTACTGTGGAATCAGCTTCATTTATGTTAAGGAAGCAGATACGGTCTCCACATTCAAGGCCAGGCTTAAAGCACTTTACTTTAATTTAGCATATAATTAGGTAATATATAATATGTAGTGTATATATTATATATATATGCTGTATTATGTTATATATTAATCAATAATGTATTGTGTTATGTTGTATATTATGTTATATATTATGCTGTATGTTATTCTTTATTCAAGGCTAGGTTTAAAACAGTCCTCTTTAGTTTAGCATATGGCTAGGAAGGTAAGACTCGGAGAAGGTTAAACTCCTCAGAGTGTTAGTCAAGCTGCATAGGGAGTCAGTTTGCTGGGAGAAGTATGGTAACTTGAGCACTATCCTCTCCTCCTTCCTACTTTATCTGTTTAGCATTTTTAGGATTCTGACTGTAGTTTGTTCATTGCTATTCACCCGTTGTCCCATTGCCTGTTTCATGGTACGATGACGGGATCTCTGAGCCTGGCCTCTTCCATCTACACCTGCGGACTGCCCCGCCCGACCCGCCTGGGAGTGCTTCAGTCCTGCACCGGACCTGTCCACGTTCAGCGGCCACTGGTCCACGTTCTGTAGCTAGCTTAGCTCCTGGATCATTAGCCTGTCCGTCCGGAGGAGCGGATCCCTTTCTCATATGGGTCTCCCTCCCTGTGGGTTTCCCTAGTTCTCCTCCAAGGTTTCTCACTTTTTCCCACTGGGTTTTTTAAGAGTTTTTCCTTGTCGATGCAGGAGGGTCTTGTTGGACAGTTAGTGTCCAACAGAAAGGATTGGTGATGATCAGGACACTTTAGCATTCTACAACATGTATGGACATTTTCTTCTGTGTGTGCTTTATATTCTTCATGTGTTTTAACTGTTGATTCTCTGACCTGTGTTGGTGATTTCAATGGTTTTGTTAAGTCCTCTGAGATGACTTCTGTTGTGACCTAGGGCTATACAAGAATAAATTGTATTGTATTGTATTGTATTGTATAAACCTACAGTAGAAACACGTGTAATCAGCTCAAACAGCTTTGTTTGTTATTGTTGTTCTGAAGAGTACAAAGTAGCAGCGTAAATGGGACCGCTCCTGTGTGATCGCCCTCATGTGGTTTGTTGTGGGATTACAACATTCTCCTCAAAACTCCGTAAGGGGAACGCGCCAGTATAACATCTATTGTGCTTACGTAGGTCCACCGCAACCGCTAACGTAAGCCACGCCGCGCAAGTATACACTAGGCTTTAGCTACGAGCCCATCAGGCCAGCCCGGCTTGGCAGAGTTCAAGAGGGGGCGCGGTTATGGAGCAGGGGCCTTTATAGAGGAGGGTGGCTAGTGATTGGAGCATTTTTTGTTGATCTCTCTGGCGTCTGTGACCTGGGGGTCACGTGATATCCCACTAGCGAAGTCCGCTAAGGGACCACGCACCTATTCGTAGAACTTAAGTTACATCAGGTAACTATTAATTCATATTTACTGTTAATGTTTACAGTCTACGGTACAGTGAGTGCGCTGCTCCTTTGGTGGAGGAGCTGAAACTACAGAGACTGGAGCAGCACAGGCCTAGATCTCAGATTTATTATGATAATGATAATAATGCATTCAATTATCTACTACTTCTGTAGCCACAGCTGCCCTGGGGCACACTGACAGAAGCGAGGCCACCAGTCTGTGCCATCGGCCCCTCCCACCACCACCAACCATTCACACACACACGAGACTCATTCTAATGTGGGTGAAGTGTCTTGCCTAAGGACACAAACTACCTGCTGTAAGGAATATCTAACCTGTCTGTAGTAGAACTTACCTGCTGTAGTAAGAACAAACCTGCTGTGGTAGAACTAACCTGCTTGTAGTAGAACTTACCTGCTGTTATTAGAACTAACCTTCTGTATTAGTATTTGTTTGGTGTGTTTATTTTTTTTTTTAAAAACTAACCGCTGTAGTAAACTAAACCTGCAGTAGTAGAACTACCTCGTAGTAAAGAACTTACCTGCTGTATAGAACTAACCTGCTGTAGTAGAAACTAACCGCTGTATTATTGTTGTAGAACTAACCTGCTGTAGTATACTAACCTCTGTGGTAGAACTAACCTGCAGTAGTAGAACTAACCTGCTGAGTAGAACTAACCTTTCTGTGGTAGACCTAACCTGCTGTAGTAAACTAACCTGCTGTGGTAGAACTGAACCTGCTGTATTAGAACTGAGAACCTGCTTAGTAGAACGTTACCTGCTGTAGTAGAACTACCTGCTGCGTATAAGAACTAACCTGCTGTAGTAGAACTAACCTGCTGTAGTAGAACTTACCTGCTGTGGAGAACTAACTCTGCAGTAGTAGAACTAACCTTCTGTAGTAGGAACTAACCTGCTGTAGTAGAACTTACCCTTCTGAGGTAAGAACTAACCTGCTGTAGTAGAACTTACCTGCTGTAGTATAACGTACTGTATAGAACTAACCTGCTGTAGTAGAACTAACCAGCTGATGGTAGAACTTAGCCTGCTTGTAGTAGACTAACCTGCTGTAGTAAACTAACCTGCGAGTAGAACTAACGCTGCTGTGTAGAAGCAACAACCTTCTGTATAAGGAACTTACCTGCTGAAGTAGAACTGACCTGCTGTAGTAGAACTAACCTGCTGTAGTCGAACTAACATCCTGCTTGTAAGTAGAACTAACCTCCTCCTGTGCTCCCCGTGCTCCCCTCTCCTTTGGTCCCTGTGCTCCCCTCTCCTGTGGTCCCTGTGCTCACCTCTCCTGTAGTCCCTGTGGTTCCCCTCTCCTTGTGGTGGTCCCTGTGCTCACCTCTCCTGTGGTCCCTGTGCTCCCCTCTCCTGTGGTCCCTGTGCTCACCTCTCCTGTAGTCCCTGTGTTCCCCTCTCCTTGTGGTGGTCCCTGTGCTCACCTCTCCTCTGGTCCCTGTGCTCCCCTCTCCTGTGGTCGCTGTGCTCACCTCTCCTTGTGGTGGTCCCTGTGCTCCCCTCTCCTTGTGGTGGTCCGTCCCTGTGCTCCCCTCTCCTGTGGTCCCTGTGCTCCCCTCTCCTTGTGGTGGTCCCTGTGCTCCCCTCTCTTGTGGTCCCTGTGCTCCCCTCTCCTGTGGTCCCTGTGCTCCCCTCTCCTGTGGTCCCTGTGCTCCCCTCTCCTGTGGTCCCTGTGCTCACCTCTCCTTGTGGTGGTCCCTGTGCTCCCCTCTCCTGTGGTCCCTGTGCTCCCCTCTCCTTGTGGTGGTCCCTGTGCTCCCCTCTCCTGTGGTGGTCCCTGTGCTCCCCTCTCCTGTGGTCCCTGTGCTCCCCTCTCCTGTGGTCCCTGTGCTCCCCTCTCCTGGTGGTCCCTGTGCTAACCTCTCCTGTGGTCCCTGTGCTCCCCTCTCCTCTGGTCCCTGTGCTCCCCTCTCCTGTGGTCCCTGTGCTCCCCTCTCCTTGTGGTGGTCCCTGTGCTCCCCTCTCCTTGTGGTGGTCCCTGTGCTCCCCTCTCCTGTGGTCCCTGTGCTCCCCTCTCCTGTGGTCCCTGTGCTAACCTCTCCTGTGGTCCCTGTGCCCCCACTCTCCTGTAGTCCCTGTGCTCCCCTCTCCTGTGGTCCCTGTGCTCACCTCTCCTGTGGTCCCTGTGCTCACCTCTCCAGGACAGGAAGTAGCTGCTCCTGCTGTAGTGCTGGTGCAGGGACAGTCCTCTGGTGAAGTTGAACGTCTCGTTGATGATTGGTCGGTTTTTGAAGAATCCGCTGAACGAGGATCCGAGTCCGGACTCTGGACTGAGGAGCAGAGTGTCCAGGGTCGAAGGGTCCAGGTCCTCGTCTGAGAGCACAGGGACAAAGCACAGGGACAAAGCTCAGGGACAAAGCTCAGGGACGTTATTTTAATCTGAGAAAGTAAGTAAGTACGTTTTTATTTATATACCGCCTTTTCACTGCAGATCTGAGTCTCAAAGCGGTTTACAATTGTTAATTTTGGGCATTTGTCTCTCACTCCACACAGAGATGGGAGCAGGGCCAGTACAGGAGGCACATGCCAGATCTATTGGACATATTTTTAGTGGTAGGGGAAACCGGAGTACCCGGAGGAAACCTACGCAGACACGGGGAGAACATGCAAACTCCACTCAGAAAGGCCCTGGTCCGACCGGGATTCGAACCCAGGACCTTCTTGCTGAGAGGCGAGAGTGCTATCCACTCAGCCACCGTGCCGAGAACACAGGATAGATTCAAATAGCCGCTGTTGTAACATGAGAGTTACCTTTTTTTAAATGAAAAGAAAATGTTTGTGGCTTTTTCTCTGGTCTCTTTCTAGTCTCTCTCTGGTCTCTTCCTCTGGTCTCGCTCTGGTCTCATTCTGGTTTCTCTCTCTGGTCTCATTCTGGTTTCTCTCTCTGGTCTCTTTCTAGTCTCACTCTGGTCTCTCTCTCTGGTCTCTTTTTAGTCTCACTCTGGTCTCGCTCTGGTTTCTCTCTCTGGTCTCTTCCTCTGATCTCGCTCTGGTCTCTCTCAAGTCTCTCTCTGGTCTCATTCTGGTTTCTCTCTCTGGTCTCTCGCTCTGGTCTCTCTCTGGTCTCTTTCTAGTCTCACTCTGGTCTCTCTCTCTGGTCTCTTTTTAGTCTCACTCTGGTCTCGCTCTGGTTTCTCTCTCTGGTCTCTTCCTCTGGTCTCGCTCTGGTCTCTCTCAAGTCTCTCTCTGGTCTCATTCTGGTTTCTCTCTCTGGTCTCTTTCTAGTCTCACTCTGGTCTCTCTCTCTGGTCTCTTTTTAGTCTCACTCTGGTCTCGCTCTGGTTTCTCTCTCTGGTCTCTTCTCTGGTCTCTCTCTGGTCTCTCTCAGGTCTCTCTCTGGTCTCATTCTGGTTTCTCTCTCTGGTCTCATTCTGGTTTCTCTCTCTGGTCTCTTTCTAGTCTCACTCTGGTCTCTCTCTCTGGTCTCTTTTTAGTCTCACTCTGGTCTCGCTCTGGTTTCTCTCTCTGGTCTCTTCCTCTGGTCTCGCTCTGGTCTCTCTCAAGTCTCTCTCTGGTCTCATTCTGGTTTCTCTCTCTGGTCTCTCGCTCTGGTCTCTCTCTGGTCTCTTTCTAGTCTCACTCTGGTCTCTCTCTGGTCTTTCTCTCTATAGTCTCTATCTCTGGTCCCTCTTAGTGGTCTCTCTCTCTCCAGTCTCTCGCTTTGGTCTCTCTCTGGTCTTGCCCTGGTCTCTCTCTCTGGTCTTTCTCTCTGGTCTTGCCCTGGTCTCTCTCTGGTCTTTCTCTCTGGTCTCTCTCTGGTCTTGCCCTGGTCTCTCTCTCTGGTCTTTCTCTCTGGTCTCTCTCTGGTCTTGCCCTGGTCTCTCTCTCTGGTCTTTCTCTCTGGTCTCTCTCTGGTCTTGCTCAGCTTTCAAACATAGAGCTACATGGAGAAGATTGAACATATTGTGTTACTTTTTTATGTGTGTGTTGTGTATGTATGTGTGTGTGTGTGTGTGTGTGTGTGTGTGTGTGTGTATTAGAGTGTGTGTGTGTTGTGTGTGTGTGTGTGTGTGTTGTGTATGTATGTGTGTGTGCGTGTGTGTAATTACCAATGCTTTCCACCTGAGGCCCCAGTTGAAGTTCAGGGTTCATTCCCATCATTTTCAACAAATCCACAAATTGGACAAAGAAAATGCTGCTCCAGATCCCTGTGTACAGACCTCACATTACACCTGTGTACAGACCTCACAATACACCTGTGTACAGACCTCACAATACACCTGTGTACAGACCTCACATTACACCTGTGTACAGACCTCACAATACACCTGTGTACAGACCTCACATTACACCTGTGTTACAGACCTCACATTACACCTGTGTACAGACCTCACATTACACCTGTGTACAGACCTCACATTACACCTGTGTACAGACCTCACATTACACCTGTGTACAGACCTCACATTACACCTGTGTACAGACCTCACATTACACCTGTGTACAGACCTCACATTACACCTGTATACAGACCTCACATTACACCTGTATACAGACCTCACATTACACCTGTATACAGACCTCACATTACACCTGTATACAGACCTCACATTACACCTGTGTACAGACCTCACATTACACCTGTGTACAGACCTCACATTACACCTGTATACAGACCTCACTTTACACCTGTATACAGACCTCACATTACACCTGTATACATACCTCACATTACACCTGTATACAGACCTCACATTACACCTGTGTACAGACCTCACATTACACCTGTGTACAGACCTCACATTACACCTGTATACAGACCTCACATTACACCTGTGTACAGACCTCACATTACACCTGTATACAGACCTCACATTACACCTGTGTACAGACCTCACATTACACCTGTGTACAGACCTCACATTACACCTGTGTACAGACCTCACATTACACCTGTATACAGACCTCACATTACACCTGTGTACAGACCTCACATTACACCTGTATACAGACCTCACATTACACCTGTATACAGACCTCACATTACACCTGTATACAGACCTCACATTACACCTGTATACAGACCTCACATAACACCTGTGTACAGACCTCACATTACACCTGTGTACAGACCTCACATTACACCTGTATACAGACCTCACATTACACCTGTGTACAGACCTCACATTACACCTGTGTACAGACCTCACATTTCACCTGTGTACAGACCTCTCATTACACCTGTGTATAGACCTCACATTACACCTGTGCACAGACCTCACATTACACCTGTGTACAGACCTCACATTACACCTGTGCACAGACCTCACATTACACCTGTGTATAGACCTCACATTACACCTGTGCACAGACCTCACATTACACCTGTGTATAGACCTCACATTACACCTGTGCACAGACCTCACATTACACCTGTGTACAGCAGACCTCACATTTCACCTGTGTACAGACCTCACATTACACCTGTGTACAGACCTCTCATTACACCTGTGTATAGACCTCACATTACACCTGTGCACAGACCTCACATTACACCTGTGTACAGACCTCACATTACACCTGTGCACAGACCTCAAATTACACCTGTGTACAGACCTCACATTACACTTGTGTACAGACCTCACATTACACCTGTGTACAGACCTCACATTACACCTGTGTACAGACCTCACATTACACCTGTGTTATATTATAACATTACACCTGTGTTACAGACCTCACATTACACCTGTGTAGCGCCTGTATCTCACCGATGAGGAAGGGCAGTCTCAGCTCTGGAAGTTTCTTCAGTAAATGTCCGAGGAAGAACTCAGAGCCGAAGTTTTCAGCTTTGATGAAGGCTCCATATTTCTGTATCCCCACAGAGAAGGGAGAGAACTCCACCCACTCTGAGGTCAGAGGTCAGAGGAGGAGACACTCAAGAGAAGCTTTGTGCGAGATCTTCAGATCGCTAAGACCAGGACCAAGACCAGGACCAGGACCAAGACTCACCGTTCTCAGGGAGGTGCCCGTCGATGGCCTCCTTCACGTTGACCGCGGTGTAGATCGGAAGAGGGTTCTGACCCCTGCTCACCGTCTTCTGCTGCTCCGACAGAGTGGAGGAGTTCATCTGAGGAGAGGAGGAGTTAGTCTGAGGAGGAGGAGGAGGAGTTAGTCTGAGGAGAGGAGGAGTTAGTCTGAGGAGGAGAGAGGAGGAGTTAGTCTGAGGAGAGAGGAGGAGTAAGTCTGAGGAGGAGAGAGGAGGAGCAACTGAGAGGAGTTAGTCTGAGGAGAGAGGAGGAGTTAGTCTGAGGAGAGAGGAGGAGTTAGTCTGAGGAGGAGAGAGGAGGAGTTAGTCTGAGTCTGACTAGAGCGGTATCAGAGAGAGACCAGGGAGAGACCAGAGAGAGACCAGAAAGAGACCAGAAAGACAGACCAGAAAGAGAGACCAGAGAGAGACCAGAGAGAGACCAGAGAGAGACCAGAAAGAGACCAGAGAGAGACCAGAAAGAGACCAGAAAGACAGACCAGAGAGAGACCAGAGAGAGACCAGAGAGAGACCAGAGAGAGACCAGAGAGAGACCAGAGAGAGACCAGAGAGAGACCAGAGAGAGACCAGAGAGAGACCAGAGAGCGACCAGAAAGAGACCAGAGAGAGACCAGAGAGATGTGTAAATTGTGATGTATAACTCTGATGGTCTGAGTCCGAGCAGGTCGATGAAGGACACCTGGTGGCCCTGTGTCTCCTTCTGCTCCATCTGGTCCCTGTAGTACTTGATCTTGCTGATGGTGAAGCCGCTCATTACGGTCTTGGTCAGCTGGTCCCTGGTCCCGCGGATGATGGTGTCCAGGTTGTTGGACCAGTTCTCATCCTGGTACAGAACAGACATCGCCCTGAAGACAAACCCCTGATGGTTACTGTCCTGTTTGAGGATTAGAGAGGGACTACAAACACACACTGGGAATGAAGACACACACTGACACACAAACACACACTGGGAATGAAGATACACTGACACACAAACACACACTGGGAATGAAGATACACTGACACACTGACACACAAACACACACTGGGAATGAAGAGCGCAGAGGCCCGGCTCGCCAAGAGGGGGCGCTCTGGGGATTAGGACATGTAGTGTTGTGCTCTAAATTTCACATACTCACTTCAGTTCTTCTGGTCTCTGGTCACTCTGGTCACTCTGGTCACTCTGGTCTCTCTGGTCTCTCTGGTCACTCTGGTCACTCTGGTCTCTCTGGTCTCTCTGGTCTCTCTGGTCACTCTGGTCTCTCTGGTCTCTCTCTCTGGTCTCTCTGGTCTCTCTCTGGTCCTCTAGGATTTCACTTACTACTGTATGTTATTTTTTAGAACACATCACCCCTGTACTAAACCAGGAACCAGTGTGTATGAAAAGTATCTTGTTTTTCGGATGGTCCAGCTCTGTATCAACCAAGTGCTCTCATGTGTGTGTCTCTGTGTGTGTGTGTGTGTGTGTCTCTCTCTGTGTGTGTGTGTGTGTGTGTGACCTCATAACAGTCTCTTCTGCTGCGTTCGCACGTCGCTCTCAGATGAGTTTCTGTTGATCGATGGAAACAGACGCTTAACCCCCACATCTACACACACACATACACACTCAGACACACACACATACACACTCAGACACACACAAAAAGCACGCACGCACATACAGACACACACACCTGCACGCACACACACATATACACACATGTGTTAATGTGATGCCGCGAGGCGAGGATTTCAGCTAAAGACCTGATCGACTCAGTGTCCGATAAACACAGGCCGCAGATAAGGACATAATGGTCTCTCTTTCGTCTCTCCTTCTCTTTTGTCTCTCTCTCTGGTTTCTCTCAGGTCTCTCTCTGGTCTTTCTCTGGTACCTCCCTCTCTGGTCTCCCTCTCTGGTCTCTCTCTCAGGTCTCTCTCAGGTCTCTCTCTGGTTTCTCTCTGATTTCTCTCTGGTCTCTCTCTCTGATTTCACTCAGGTGTTTCTGGTCTCTCTCTCTGGTTTCTCTCAGGTCTCTCTGGTTTCTCTCAGGTCTCTCTGGTTTCTCTCTGGTTTCTCTCTGGTTTCTCTCTGGTTTCTCTCTGGTCTCTCTGGTTTCTCTCTGGTCTCTCTCTGGTTTCTCTCTGGTCTCTCTGGTTTCTCTCTGGTCTCTCTGGTTTCACTCAGGTGTCTCTGGTCTTTCTCTGGTACCTCCCTCTCAGGTCTCTCTCTGGTCTCTCTCTGGTCTCTCTCAGGTCTCTCTCAGGTCTCTCTCTGGTTTCTCTCAGGTCTCTCTCTGGTCTATCTCTGGTTTCTCTCAGGTCTCTCTCAGGTCTCTCTCAAGTCTCTCTCAGGTCTCTCTCTGGTTTCTCTCAGGTCTCTCTCTGGTCTTTCTCTGGTATCTCCCTCTCTGGTCTCTCTCTGGTCTTTCTCTGGTACCTCCCTCTCTGGTCTCTCTCTTCCTGGTCTCTCTCTGGTGTTGATGGGAAGTCTGGTTTGGTAAAGATTCAGGGATATATTTACAGTACTGTCTATACAGACCTCTCCGTCCTTTTTAAGCCTCTGTTTTTTCCATTTCTTCCTTTTTAGTTTTTTCCGGCTTTAGTGAAATGTGAGAGGTCAGAGGTCAGAGGTCGGAGGCCAGTGCAGGTTAATGTGGGAGAGCGAGACGCAAATGCCACCGCGATGGAGGAAAGGTGAAGAAGAAGAGCTCAGAGAGAACAAACGCACATCCTGTTATCACCACAGTCCAGGAGTCTGAGGCAATCAGCCAGAGGGCGGCCATGTTTGTAGTCTTGAGAGACCGGAGAGAGAGACCGGAAATGGAGACCAAAGAGAGAGACCAAAGAGAGGGAGAGACCAGCCAGCCAGAGAGACCAGAGAGCGCGAGAGACCAGAGAGCGAGTAAGGCTAGAAACCAGAGGGAGACTAGCAAGACTAGGAACCAGAGAGGGAGACCAGAGAGACCATAGACGTGTAGTTTGGACAGAAGGGTTGGGGGGTTGTGTGTATCTCTTGTTTTCACTTTTGTTTTTTTCTCGTCTTTTTAATTCGGACAATTTCAAAAGCGGCAACTACAAAGATGTTACCGTAGCAACGTAGATCAAACAGCAGACCTCATTTACACTTGTATGACCCTTGAGTTTCCCTCATGTCTCAGTCAGTATACATTTCTCTGTACAAACCTCAGTATACATGTCTCTGTACATGCCTCAGTATACATGCCTCAGTATACATGCCTCAGTATACATACCTCAGTATACATGTCTGTGTACAAACCTCAGTATACATGCCTCAGTATACATGCCTCAGTATACATGTCTGTGTACAAACCTCAGTATACATGCCTCAGTATACATACCTCAGTATACATGTCTGTGTACAAACCTCAGTATACATGCCTCAGTGGCGGCACGGTGGCTGAGTGGATAGCACTCTCGCCTCTCAGCAAGAAGGTCCTGGGTTCAAATCCCGGTCGGACCAGGGCCTTTCTGAGTGGAGTTTGCATGTTCTCCCCGTGTCTGTGTAGGTTTCCTCCGGGTACTTCGGTTTCCCCTACCACTAAAAATATGTACAATAGTTCTGGCCCCGCTCCCATCTGTGTGGAGTGAGAGACAAATGCCCGCTTTGTAAATTGTAAACCGCTTTGAGACTCAGATCTGCAGTGAAAAGGCGGTATATAAATAAAAACTTACTTACTTACTTACTTACTCAGTATACATGCCTCAGTATACATGTCTGTGTACAAACCTCAGTATACATGCCTCAGTATACATGCCTCAGTATACATGCCTCAGTATACATACCTCAGTATACATGTCTGTGTACAAACCTCAGTATACATGCCTCAGTATACATACCTCAGTATACATGCCTGTGTACAAACCTCAGTATACATACCTCAGTATACATGCCTGTGTACAAACCTCAGTATACATGCCTCAGTATACATACCTCAGTATACATACCTTAGTATACATACCTCAGTATACATGCCTGTGTACAAACCTCAGTATACATGCCTCAGTATACATGTCTGTGTACAAACCTCAGTATACATGCCTCAGTATACATGTCTGTGTACAAACCTCAGTATACATACCTCAGTATACATACCTTAGTATACATACCTCAGTATACATACCTCAGTATACATACCTCAGTATACATGCCTGTGTACAAACCTCAGTATACATGCCTCAGTATACATACCTCAGTATACATACCTTAGTATACATACCTCAGTATACATGCCTGTGTACAAACCTCAGTATACATTCCTCAGTATACATGCCTCAGTATACATGCCTCAGTATACATGCCTCAGTATACATGCCTCAGTATACATGCCTCAGTATACATACCTCAGTATACATGCCTGTGTACAAACCTCAGTATACATGCCTCAGTATACATGTTTGTGTACAAACCTCAGTATACAAACCTCAGTATACATTCCTCAGTATACATGCCTCAGTATACATGCCTCAGTATACGTGTCTTTTCTCGGCTCTGACTTTGTTTCCATTGATTCTGAAGCGAAATGCAAAAAAAAAGTCGACATGAAAGAAAGGAGGCTTTTGTCTAAATCAAAGGTTAATGTGGTGAAATGATCTGAGACCAGAGAGAGACCAGGACCAGAGAGGGACCAGGACCAGAGAGGGACCAGGACCAGAGAGGGACCAGGACCAGAGAGGGACCAAGACCAGAGAGGGACCAAGACCAGAGAGGGACCAAGACCAGAGAGGGACCAAGACCAGAGAGGGACCAAGACCAGAGAGGGACCAAGACCAGAGAGGGACCAAGACCAGAGAGGGACCAAGACCAGAGAGGGACCAGGACCAGAGAGGGACCAGGACCAGAGAGGGACCAGGACCAGAGAGGGACCAGGACCAGAGAGGGACCATGACCAGAGAGGGACCAGGACCAGAGAGGGACCAGGACCAGAGAGGGACCAGGACCAGAGAGGGACCAAGACCAGAGAGGGACCAAGACCAGAGAGGGACCAAGACCAGAGAGGGACCAAGACCAGAGAGGGACCAAGACCAGAGAGGGACCAAGACCAGAGAGGGACCAGGACCAGAGAGGGACCAAGACCAGAGAGGGACCAAGACCAGAGAGGGACCAAGACCAGAGAGGGACCAAGACCAGAGAGGGACCAAGACCAGAGAGGGACCAGGACCAGAGAGGGACCAGGACCAGAGAGGGACCAGGACCAGAGAGGGACCAGGACCAGAGAGGGACCAGGACCAGAGAGGGACCAGGACCAGAGAGGGACCAGGACCAGAGAGGGACCAGGACCAGAGAGGGACCAGGACCAGAGAGGGACCAGAGAGGGACCAGAGAGGGACCAGAGAGGGACCAGAGAGGGACCAGAGAGGGACCAGAGAGGGACCAGAGAGGGACCAGAGAGGGACCAGAGAGGGACCAGAGAGGGACCAGAGAGGGACCAGAGAGGGACCAGAGAGGGACCAGAGAGAGGCGAGAGAGAGGCGAGAGAGAGACGAAAGAGAGACGAGACGAGAGAGAGACGAGACGAGAGACGAGACGAGAGAGAGACGAGAGAGAGACGAGAGAGAGACGAGAGAGAGACGAGAGAGAGACGAGAGAGAGACGAGAGAGAGAGACCAAAGAGAAAGTTGGTCTAAAGCAGGACCAGGTCTGGCTCTGCTCTGGCTCTAACAGGACCTGACAGCTCTCATAACCCGGGGCGGCTGCGGCTGCTCGTACAGATGAATCTGACAGAAAACATTAGAAACAGCAGTAAATCTGCAGAAAGAGCAGAGATCAGACCCTCACCTCCTCGTCACCTGCAGACACGCACTGCTCCCGCACATTTATTTATATAGCACATTTATTTATATAGCACATTTAGAACAGAATCAAACTGGAACACACTAGATCTGAGTGGGTCTAAAGCAGGTCTAAATCAGGATCAAAGACGCCCAAAGAGCGAGACCAGAGCGAGACCAGAGCGAGACCAGAGCTACTATTCCACATGAGGTGTTTGTTTTGTACATTACAGGATGTGAGGCAGGAAGTACTCATGCCCATATAAGGCTGTGACAGTCCTCATTGACACACACTGTAATTACTCCCACAGACGGACGACATCATGACACATGTCTCCCCCCTCTCCTCCCTCTCTCCCCTCACCCATACTTCTCTCTCTCCTCCTCCTCTTCCCTCTCTCCTACTGCTCGCTTGCCCTCACCCACACTGCTCCCTCTCCTCTTCCCCACACTCCTCTCCCTCCTCACCCACACTGCTCTCTCTCCTCCTCTCCCTCCTCACCCACACTGCTCTCTCTCCTCCTCTCCCTCCTCACCCACACTGCTCTCTCTCCTCCTCTCCCTCCTCACCCACACTGCTCTCTCTCCTCCTCTCCCTCCTCACCCACACTGCTCTCTCTCCTCCTCTCCCTCCTCACCCACACTGCTCTCTCTCCTCCTCTCCCTCCTCACCCACACTGCTCTCTCTCCTCCTCTCCCTCCTCACCCACACTGCTCCTCCTCTCCTCCTCACCCACACTGCTCCCTCTCCTCTTCCCCACACTCCTCTCCCTCCTCACCCACACTGCTCCCTCTCCTCTTCCCCACACTCCTCTCCCTCCTCACCCACACTGCTCCCTCTCCTCTTCCCCACACTCCTCTCCCTCCTCACCCACACTGCTCCCTCTCCTCTTCCCCACACTCCTCTCCCTCCTCACCCACACTGCTCTCTCTCCTCCTCTCCCTCCTCACCCACACTGCTCTCTCTCCTCCTCTCCCTCCTCACCCACACTGCTCCCTCTCCTCTTCCCCACACTCCTCTCCCTCCTCACCCACACTGCTCCCACTGCTCTCTCTCCTCCTCTCCCTCCTCACCCACACTGCTCTCTCTCCTCCTAGGTGAGGGACCATGATTCAGGCTCTCACCTATTAAAGGAGAGAGCCTGAATCTCGTTTGTGAGTAAATCATAATTACCATGAGAAAAATGTGTTGCAATTTACACAAGGATGGCGGCTGAGCTCTAAAATTGGGGTTTGTTCCTTTAAAGCTCGGGTTCGTAACTTTCAGACCACAACAATAGACCTCTGTAATAAAACATAACTTGTTCCTTCTAACTCTAGTTTTTACATAATGTATTTTTTCTCTCTCTCTCTGGTGTCTCTCTCTCTGTTGTCTATCTCTGGTCTCTCTCTCTCTGTTGTCTATCTCTGGTCTCTCTCGCCAGTCTTTTTCTGGTCCTTATCTCTGGTTCCTCACACTGGTCTCTGTGGTCTATTTCTGGTCTCTCTCAGGTCCCTCTCTGGTCTCTCTCTCTGGTCTCTCTTTTTAAGACGGAAAGTGAAAAAGAGAGGACCACCCTCACTCAGCCAATCAGCTCTCAGCCAGAGGAGTTGAATGGTGACTCAGGGCTCTTTCTGACACAAAATAGTTTTTTTTCATAAGATGAAGACTTTGACGTCACACCTCTTTGAGTGTGATGTCTCTTAAGACTATGGACCACTGTAAAGCTACCAACACATGGCCGTCTGCCCAAACTCACAGTCCTGATCACAGATGCAGACAAGAGGCCCATTGTGACTCTGGACCTGTTTTTTACTTGTGCCCATGTTGTTGTTTACCTCTGGTTGTTTACTTATATCCATGTTGTCGTTTACCTCTGGTTGCCGCGGTGACAGACAGAGGTGATCAAAGGGCCCTGTGGCAGCGTGGGGATGACCTTCAGGCAGGTTCCAGCTTCAGAAGGCGACATGGTCCACGTCAGCATCGAGACCGTCACCCCCAACTCCCCCGCCGCCCAGGCCGACCTGCAGAGGGGAGACCGGCTCATCGCTATCGGAGGTACAGGACCCAGACCAGGACCCAGACCAGGACCCAGACCAGGACCTGTTAACAGTGGCCTTCTTTTGCAGGGGTCAAAGTGACGTCGTCGGTGCAGGTTCCCAAGCTGCTGAAAGCAGCTGGAGATCGGGTGCTGGTTTTGTACGAGCGTCCTGTACGGCACCAGAACGTGGCGCCTGAGAGCTACGCGAGTGATGAGCCGCCGCCCGCCTACGAGGAAGAGCCCGCCCCCATCTGCGCACTGACCGAGTTGCACGAGCCCAGAGACCCTAGAGAAATGGACTCAGAGTTTGAGGAGCTCACGGTGGAGGCGCGGTCACCACCACCCGCCAGTGCGCAGACCGACCTGAGGGATGAGTGTCTACTGAGCGCCAGCCCCAAACGCAGCGCAGTCTCGTTAGCGTCCAAACCGCTCGGCAGTATATCCCCGATCCTCAGCCGCAAACTGCAGCTGGTCGGGCTGCAGGCACCGCTGAGGCCGCAGCCATCGCCCAAACACTCGCCGCACAGAAGCAGCTGCGAGCTGAGCGCGGAGGGCGTGCCGCGGCCGAGCCTCCCCCCTGTGCCTCCCCCTGTGCCGCCGCGCCCGCACATACGCCTCACCTCTGCGTCATCAGAGACCAGCCTCACGGACACTGCAGAGGGACCAGGAACGCTGGCCTCCTCCAGCTCCAGCAACGCGCTCAGCTCCTTGGAGCGCTCCCCCGAGAAGACAGCGAGCGGAGGGGACGCGGGAGAGGAGGTGGTGGCAGCGAGAGCGGAACACGCCAAAGAGAAGCTGTCGGAGAGCTCCTGCAGCACCAGCCTGGACGAGCACGCACACTGGGAGTCGGCCGAGACGCTGTACAAGAGCCAGAACGCGCGCTGGTCCAAGGCCAGCGCACTGTTCGATGTCGAGGCGCACCACAAGTACCTGAACGTGGCCCTCTGGTGAGTCATGGCAACAGTTTCACTTTTATCTCATGAAAAATATATTAAATTATTGTATAACATGGGAATTTAATCTGTTAGCAGACCCTTCTACCCTACTCTCCTCTACTCTACTCTCCCCTCCCATGATTGTGTTTCCTCTGGTCCTGTGTATCCAGTACCAGGTCCTTCATTAGCCCCTCTTGGAGTTAAATTGTCCTAACTTGATCCTGGTCCTCCTCAGGTGTAAGGACCCATTTAAACTGGGTGCCCTGCTGTGCCTGGGCCATGCGAGCCTGCCGCTTGAGCAGGTGGCGCTGGAGTGTTTGGCGACAGCGTCCTCAGAGTTCCAGAGCACGTTCAGGCTACGCGCTCCAGAGCCGCGCGCTAACGTGAGCCGCACGGCACTACGCAGCCTCAGCGCACACAAGGGCTTCAACGAGAAGCTCTGCTACGGCGACGTCACGCTCAACCTCTGCTACGGGTCGGACACTGAGGCCGAGCTTGGCACCACGGAGCGTGAGCGTGAGGACGACTGTCGTGAGCGCGAGAGAGAAACACCTGCGCTCACACAGCGTGACGAGCTGCTGTACGGAGCCCTGCAGATGGTGGAGGTGCGACACAACTTCCAGGTACACTTTATTATTATTATCATTAATTCAATTACATCTATTTGTGTATTGCCCTAAACCACAACTGTAGTTATCTCGGAGGACTTTACAACCACATAGAGCCATTGGTCCCATAGTCACTGACAATCTGTGTTTTTAGACTTCTTCACTGAGTCTTACCGACTGTGTAAACAGAGACTAGGGATGCATCGATAACGATACTGGTATCGTTATCGATGCCATTGGCTTGTACTTGTACCACAGGACCCCATTCCTGCAACCGATACCCACATTTTTAGCATCACGACAGGAGACGGCTGTGTGCACGTGTTGCCATGGTGATCTTCGAAAGTCTGCAGTGAGAAAGAAAGTTACAGTCAAGCTAGGCAACGGCAAGCGGGCTACCGGCAAGCGGGCTACCGGCAAGCGGGCTACCGGCAAGCGGGCTACCGGCAAGCGGGCTACCGGCAAGCGGGCTACCGGCAAGCGGGCTACCGGCAAGCAGGTTAACAGCAAGCAGACAAGATGTCGGCCGTATGGCAGTTTTTTAGAGTAAACCGAAGTGCCAAGAGCAAAGCGGACTGTATGCTGTGTAAGGCAACACTGTCAGGAGGTGGGTCCAAAACAAACCCCTATAACAACTCACCATCACGCAGAGTAACTTTTGCAAGCACCAGAGCGGTTTCTTTGTACCATTGAGTGGAATATGATCATGGCTCTTTCCGTTTAAACAATTGCTAAAATGTTTGATTGTTAAAGCATGTTGTTATTGTTGAGTTAGTTTTATGAATTCCCAGGGATACCACAAACTTGTATCGATACTCTGTTTTGGCAAGTACTCAAATGAAAGTACTCTTGGTGGTATCGGTGCATCACTAATAGAAACTGTGTCTGCTTCCTGGACATGGATGAGGTGCTGATTCCACATTAGGAGCTTTGGAGCTAAACACTCTGCTCTGGAGTTATGTGTTGCTCCTGTTGGTGCCTGTTAAGATCCTTGCTGCTGTATTTTAGAAGGTTTAGGACACGCTGCCAGCAGGGGGCACGACAGCAGTCAAACCTCAAACCTTGAGGTAAGAAATGCATGGATCAGTTTTTAAGTTTCATAGACGTAAAGCTGTGTCTGCAGCTGTTGATGTCATTATTTTAATTATGTTTAAAGGCAGCATGTTGTAGAGTGTGAAGAGGGGAGAGTAACGATCCTTGTGGCACACCCAGTGGCAAAATTTGGTTCACATTAACAAACTGATGCAGATCCGATCTCCGAGAGCACTCTCCGCAGTAGAATGTTGTGGTCTATTGTGTGACACCGATAATGTGCATTACAATTATTATCATCTATCCATCCATTTTCTTCCCCTTAATCCATTTCTGGTCGGGGGTAGCAGTCAGAGCTGCACCCTGTACACAGGGCACCAGCCCCTCACTGATCCTCCTGCAGGAGTCCACAGGAGAACGGCCATGATCTTTCATTATTATTATCATCGTTGATATAGTGAAAAAAGTTACGACTGTAACTGTGGTTCTATGAATCCTTCCTGAACGCCACAGCCAGTGCGAAAGCATAAGAGTTGAATACGGCACGGTGGCTGAGTGGATAGCACTCTCGCCTCTCAGCAAGAAGGTCCTGGGTTCGCATCCCGGTCGGACCAGGGCCTTTCTGAGTGGAGTTTGCATGTTCTCCCCGTGTGTGCGTAGGTTTCCTCCGGGTACTCCGGTTTACCCTACCACTAAAAATATGTACAACAGTTCTGGCATGCGCCTCCTGTTCGGCGACCCCGCTCCCATCACTGTGTGGAGTGAGAGACAAGTGCCCAAAAAATAACAATTGTAAACCGCTTTGTGACTCTGGTCTGTGAAAGGCAGTATATAAATAAAGATTACTTACTTACTTAATACCCGCCAGAAGCACAGTCATAAAACCTTAGTTAGTTGTAACTTTCAAGAGAAATGTGGTCTTTCTCTCTCTCTGGTGTCCCTCTCTTGTCTCTCTCTGGTGTCTCTCTCTGGTGTCTCTCTCTGGTGTCTCTCTCTGGTGTCTCTCTCTGGTGTCCCTCTCTTGTCTCTCTCTGGTGTCTCTCTCTGGTGTCTCTCTCTGGTGTCCCTCTCTTGTCTCTCTCTGGTGTCTCTCTCTGGTGTCTCTCTCTGGTGTCTCTCTCTGGTGTCCCTCTCTTGTCTCTCTCTGGTGTCTCTCTCTGGCATCTCTCTCTGGTGTCTCTCTCTCTGGTGTCTCTCTCTTGTTTCTCTCTGGTGTCTCTCTCTGGTGTCCCTCTCTTGTCTCTCTCTGGTGTCCCTCTCTTGTCTCTCTCTGGTGTCTCTCTCTGGTGTCTCTCTCTGGTGTCCCTCTCTTGTCTCTCTCTGGTGTCTCTCTCTGGCGTCTCTCTCTGATGTCTCTCTCTCTGGTGTCTCTCTCTTGTTTCTCTCTGGTGTCTCTCTCTGGTCTCTCTCTGGTGTCCCTCTCTGGTCTCTCTCTGGTGTCCCTCTCTTGTCTCTCTCTGGTGTCTCTCTCTTGTCTCTCTCTGGTGTCTCTCTCTGGTGTCCCTTGCTGCTCTCTCTCTGGTCTCTGATCTTATTACTGAGTCTAAAGTCCTGTCCCTCAATGTGACCTGCCCCTCCCCCTCCTCAGGACACTCAGTTCCAGAATCCCACCTGGTGTGAATACTGTAAGAAGAAGGTGTGGACGAAGGCAGCGTCTCAGTGCATGGTCTGTGCGTACGTGTGCCACAAGAAGTGTCAGGACAAGTGCCTCGCCGAGCACCCGCTGTGTGTTGCCGCCAGCGAGCGCAAGAGCGCCGACCCCGAGGCCAAGTCCACCATCAACCGCGCCACTAGCGGCCTCACGCGACACATCCTCAACACCAGCTCGCGCCTGCTCAACCTGCGCACGGTGCCCAGGCCGCGGCAGGCGGAGCCCGAGCCGTCGCCGAAGCAGACGCCCAACACGTCCGACAACGAGAGCAGCGACGCCGAGACCTACGCCCCCGGCACCAACAGCAACAGCAGCACCAGTGGCGCCAAACTGGTACGCAAGGACGGCGGCCTGGACGACAGCGTCTTCATTGCTGTAAAAGAGATCGGCAGAGACCTGTACCGCGGTTTACCCACCGACGAGAGGGCGCAGAAGCTGGAGCTGATGCTGGACAAGCTGCAGGTAGGAAAGAGTCTCTCCCTGGTTTTTTTTCTGGCCTCTCTCTCTCTATCTCTACACTCTCTCTGGTCTATCTCTACACTCTCTCTGGTCTATCTCTAGACTCTCTCTCTAGACTCTCTCTGGTCTATCTCTACACTCTCTCTGGTCTATCTCTACACTCTCTCTGGTCTATCTCTACACTCTCTCTGGTCTATCTCTAGACTCTCTCTGGTCTATCTCTACACTCTCTCTCTGGTCTATCTCTACACTCTCTCTGGTCTATCTCTACTCTCTCTCTGGTCTATCTCTACTCTCTCTCTGGTCTATCTCTACACTCTCTCTGGTCTATCTCTACACTCTCTCTGGTCTATCTCTAGACTCTCTCTGGTCTATCTCTACACTCTCTGAACTCTCTCTGGTCTCTCTCATCTCTCTGGTGTCCATCTTGTCTCTCTTCTGTGTCTCTCTCCTCTTTCTCTCTCGTCTCTCTCGTCTCTTATCTCTTCGTCTCTCTAATACATCTCTCTCTTTCTGCAGCAGGAGATTGATCAGGAGCTGGAGCACAACAATACGCTGCTGGTGGAGGAGCGTGATGCGCCGGACGCTCGACGGAAGGCGGCGGTGGGCGGAGCTTTGTCTAAATCCGGCGAGCGTCTGCAGGCGCTGACTCTGCTGACGATTCACTACCGCGCAGGGATTGAGGACCTAGAGACTACAGAGACTGCAGAGTCCGCCGAGACCGGCGAGTCTCCAGGGGACACGCCTCCTGCCTTCACAGCAGAGGAGTACGACAGCGACACCAGCAGTCCAGTGGAGGTCCTCCACCATGTGGGCCCTGACAGGATCTGTGGAGAGGCAAGCATCTGAGGAGTCCCTGCCCAGCTATGAGGCGCCCTCTCTCTGGTGTATCTCTGATTTATCTCTGGGCTCTCTCTGTTGTATCTCTTTGGTACCAGAAAGAGACCAGAGAGAGACCAGAGAGAGACCAGAGAGAGACCAGAGAGAGACCAGATGAAGATTTCTCCTGCTTGTGTGAACTTTAACGCAGCCGGTGAGGAGACACAGAGTGGACATGCTGTTCTAGTGTTGCACGCTAAAGCTAAGCTACAGTTTTTGCTTGTTCTCCTCTTCCCGCACTGAACTGGTCCCTGCGGTCTGATCACCTGGTCTTGTTGCACGTTTGTCTCGACGGCTGTTTTCGGTGACAAAAAATACAAAATATCAATATTTTTTTTTATAGGCGAATGAACTGTGGCTAATGCTAATCGTGGCTAACGCTAATGCTAATGTGGCTAACGTCTGATGACTGTAAAGAAAAAAAGGAAAAACGTCACTTTATCTGAAAAAACTTGCAACAAAAAAAATAATGAAACATATCGTCAATTTCTGCACTTTTTACGGCGCGTTTCGCTTTGGGGATATTTAAGAATGTTTTTGGAATTCCGTCCGATTTTGTGTTTTTTACAAAGATGACGACTGGACGATTGCAAGAAAAACGAGGTCCAAACTAATGTGAAATGTGTGCGCTGTACGAGACGTTCGCTTTTATAACTGAATACAAATATGAAATAAACGCTGCTTCTGTTTTGGCCAGACCAGAAATGTAATCTCAGATCTGGGAAAAGGGTCCAAGATGGCAGCCCATTGTCATAAAGGAGGGAATACCTTAGTTTCCAAGATTTCCAAAATGGCCTCCCCAGGTGTGCAAGATTGCCTCTGCACATTTCCAAAATGGCTGTCCCTGGGTTTCCAAGATGTCCGCCGCAGGTTTCCAAGATGGCTGTTTATTCAAATCACTGGCCACCACCAGGCTTAAAACCGGCTTAAGCAGCAACACCCATGATGAGAGCGCACTGCTATTGACGTTAGCCTAAGCAAGATTAATTGTATAGCACACTTGTCACACAGGGCCAAGTGTTTTACAAAAACAAGAGAGAAAGTAGAATCTTTAATAATCACACAGGCGTTTAAAGTGAACCTCCGTTACTTTCCAAACTGTGATGAATGACACGCTCACTCCTGAAGCCCCCTGATTGGTCAAAACAAATCCTTGGTTATACATAATAAAATAGTTGCAAAAAACTCACTGTACACATTAATGCAGTGTCAGAAATATACAGGCTACGACTGAAGTTGTGGACATCTCCTTTAAAACAGACCACAGTGGAGATAAGCAGAGTTTACCTGCGATGGGTGGATTATTTCTGCTCAGGAGAAGTGCTCATAGTCACAGGTTTGGCTCATAACAGAAGCGTTGGTGTTTGTGTTCAGCGGCGGCGCCTCGTGTTCCTGAACTCTGGGGAAACTGGGTTTTTGTGAAGGATTTCTGTTTTTTGTCTGTTTTTTTGTTTGTTAAAGATATTAAAATGTTGTTTTTTCTGAGTCTGGTCCTGGTGCCGACTACTGCTGGTCGTTTCTGATGGATTCTATAAAAAAAAAAACACAGCACCACATGTTTAAAATGGCAAATTAAAGCTGTGGTATGTAACTTTCAGCCCACTGGTCTCTCTCTGCTCTCTGGTCTCTCTCTTGTGTCTCTCTCTTGTCTCTCTCTGGTCTCTTTGCTCCCTCTCTGGTCTCTCTCTCTGGTCTCTCTCTGGTCTCTCTCTGGTCTCTCTCTGCTCTCTCTCTGCTCTCTCTCTGGTCTCGCTCTGGTCTCTCTCTGCTCTCTCTCTGCTCTCTCTCTGGTCTCTCTCTGGTCTCTCTCTGCTCTCTCTCTGGTCTCTCTCTGCTCTCTCTCTGCTCTCTCTCTGGTCTCTCTCTCTGGTCTCTCTCTGCTCTCTCTCTGCTCTCTCTCTGGTCTCTCTCTGGCTCTCTCTCTGCTCTCTCTCTGGTCTCTCTCTGGTCTCTCTCTGGTCTCTCTCTGGTCTCTCTCTGCTCTCTCTCTGCTCTCTCTCTGGTCTCTCTCTGGTCTCTCTCTGCTCTCTCTCTCGTCTCTCTCTGGTCTCTCTCTCTGGTCTCTCTCTGGTCTCTCTCTGGTCTCTCTCTGGTCTCTCTCTGGTCTCTCGCTGGTCTCTCTCTTGTCTCTCTCTGGTCTCCCTGCTCTCTCTCTGGTCTCTCTGCTCTCTCTCTCTTGTCTCTCTCTCTGGTCTCTCTCTGGTCTCTCTCTGGTCTCTCTCTCTGGTCTCTCTCTCTGGTCTCTCTCTGGTCTCTCTCTGGTCTCTCTCTAGTCTCTCTCTGCTCTCTCTCTGGTCTCTCTCTGCTCTCTCTCTGGTCTCTCTCTGGTCTCTCTCTGGTCGCTCTCTGCTCTCTCTCTGGTCTCTCTCTGCTCTCTCTCTCTCTCTCTCTCTCTCTGGTCTCTCTCTTGTGTCTCTCTCCTCTCTCTGGTCTCTCTCTGGTCTCTCTCTTGTCTCTCTCTCTCTGGTCTCTCACTAGTTTCCACATGCATGTATTTCTGCATATACAAAAGAGAGGACCACCCTCACTCAGCCAATCAGCTCTCAGCCCAAAGAGTCAGTTTAGACATGGCTCTTTCTGACACAGAGGATGAAGACGGCATGCTTGTGTGAGACTAAAGTTACAGACCTCAGCTTTATTTCTTCTTCTGTCAGAACGATGCAGCTGTGTTTGTTGAACTTTAACTTGTTGCTTCGCTCTGATCACGATTGATTTAATAAAAGACTTAAAATTACATTAGCTTTGTTTTTGTGACGCATGGTACACCCCAGAGTGAGAACAGTGTGTGTGTGTCTGTGTGTGTGTGTCTCTGTGTGTGTGTCTGTGTGTGTGTCTCTTTGTTCATAATGACGTCTCTCTCAGATGGACACTTAGATTACCGGCTGCCTGTGCCTGAAAAACGGAAAACTCATATCCACCTGTGTCTGTGTGTGTGTGTCTGTGTGTGTGTGTCTGTGTGTGTGTGTGTGTGTCTGTGTGTGTCTGTGTGTGTGTGTGTGTGTGTGTGTGTGTGTGTGTGTCTATATTTGATTAGAGCTTTTCCAGTTGTGTGTTGTAGGTCTTTGTTCCTGACGTTACATCACGACCACAAACTAAGGCTTTAAACAAACATCTTCCAACACCAGTGATGGTACAGACCAGTCGCACTCCCACCTGGTACAAACCGGTTGCAGTCCCACATGGTGAAGACTGCAACCAGGGCTCATCCACCTGTCTGTGGTTACCTGGACCTGTCCTTTCAACACAATCGTCCTCACTGCAGGACCATCAACCTCACTGCAGGACTATCAACCTCACTGCAGGACCATTGACCTCACTGTAGGACCCTCAACCTCACTGCAGGACCATCAACCTCACTGCAGGACCATCAACCTCACTGTAGGACTATCAACCTCACTGCAGGACCATTGACCCCACTGCAGGACCATCGACCCCACTGCAGGACCATCAACCTCACTGCAGGACTATCAACCTCACTGCAGGACTATCAACCTCACTGCAGGACCATTGACCTCACTGCAGGACCATTGACCTCACTGCAGGACCATCAACCTTACTGCAGGACCATCAACCTCACCGCAGGACCATTGACCTCACTGCAGGACCATCGACCTTACTGCAGGACCATCAACCTCACCGCAGGACCATCGACCACACTGCAGGACCATCGACCACACTGCAGGACCATTGACCCCACTGCAGGACCATCGACCCCACTGCAGGACCATCAACCGCACTGCAGGACCATTGACCCCACTGCAGGACCATCGACCTCACTGCAGGACCATCGACCGCACTGCAGGACCATTGACCCCACTGCAGAACCATTGACCCCACTGCAGGACCATCGACCTCACTGCAGGACCATCAACCTCACTGTAGGACCATCGACCTCACTGCAGGACCATCGACCTCACTGCAAGACCATCAACCTCACTGCAGGACCATTGACCTTACAATAGGACCATCAACCTCACTGCAGGACCATCAACCTCACTGCAGGACCATCGACCTCACTGCAGGACCATCGACCCCACTGCAGGACCATCGACCTCACTGCAGGACCATCGACCTCACTGCAGGACCATCAACCTCACTGCAGGACCATCAACCTCACTGCTGTCAGACTGTACAATAAGTTACTGACCTTCACTACGACTGGTTTGTGGATAAAAATTACACAAAGCATTTCCTGTTGTTTGTTAAAGTCACTTGTACAATTCTGTTTGTGAGATCAATAAACTTTATCTTACAAACCCCAAACCTTTAACATCTCAGAGCTGTTTTTGACTGAGCATGACACCACTGCAAATGTACCAACACACTGCCCTCTGAGCGCTGATGCAGAGAAGAGGCCCGTGGTACTTTACACATCACTGAGGTCCGTGACGTTCAAACCGCAACTATAAAACTAGATCATGTATTTTTGGTCTCAACCTGGTCACCCTCCCTGGTCCTTTTCTGGTGTCTCCCTCTCAGCTCTATTGTCTTTTTCTGGTCTCTTCTCGTTCTGGTCTCATTTTGCATCTATCATTAGTTTCATGAATTTCTGTTCTCTTCAGATCTTTCCGACAGAAAAGGGAGAGAGAGGACCACCCTCACTCGGCCAATCAGAGCTCAGCCCAGACAGAGATGGCTCCTCATGATTAAAGTGTGAAGTGTTTAATCTTTGTTAAAGTTCAGAAAGAAGGAGACGGAGGCGAGTTAAGGCACTGACAGAGTTTAAATCAAACGTTTGGACAGAAGCAGCGTTACAGTTATCCACATTGGGACTCAGACATTGGGATTCGGACACACACATGTTTACGTTTCAAAATAAAAGCACAGAGACACTTTTCAGAATAAAACCTGACGCACAGAGATGACATCACCGAGAACGCGAAATAATGAAGAGAGTGAGGATCCGACACTCAGACAGAGGAGGGGCTTCAGAGCTCACAGACTACAGAGGGACGAGGCTAATCCGCTAGCTCAATGAAGTCCAATAGGGAAGTGCTCATGGTGAAGTTTGGCTCCTCTCTCTGGCTCCTATTGACTTCCATGTAAAAGTAAACTCTAGCTCGGAAACGTTTGTGTGACATCGCTCCTCCTGTTTGTATGTGATGTCTTTGAAAATCCTTATGGCTCATGTAAGTCCTTCATTAACGGAGAAACTCCAGTTTGCCTTGGCAACCGTCATAGCAACCCGCGAAGCTAACACAGCGAAGCAAAAACCGCGGGACAAATATGGAAATTGGCTGCAGCTCATGACCAAATCTGTCTCTTCTTCCTTAAGGCTAACACTAGTGATGTCACACTGCAGTGATGTCACACTGCAGTGATGTCACACTGCAGTGATGTCACACTGTGGTGATGTCACACTGCAGTGATGTCACACTGTGGTGATGTCACACTGCAGTGATGTCACACTGCGGTGATGTCACACTGTGGGGATGTCACAGTGATGTCACACTGTGGTGATGTCACACTGCGGTGATGTCACACTGTGGTGATGTCACAGTGATGTCACACTGTGGTGATGTCACACTGTGGTGATGTCACACTGTGGTGATGTCACACTGTGGTGATGTCACAGTGATGTCACACTGCAGTGATGTCACACTGTGGTGATGTCACACTGTGGTGATGTCACACTGTGGTGATGTCACACTGTGGTGATGTCACACTGTGGTGATGTCACACTGTGGTGTACAATTAGTGGTTGTACCAAGCCCTGGCAATCCAAGATGGCAGCCTTTTCAAATCAATGGCTTGTGCTCAGTAGTGCATGAGACGTACAAGGGGCTCGGCCAATCAGAGCAGTTGATCAGTGCGGAGCTAGAGCGAGAACCAAACGTTGCATTAAAGTTTGGATTTATAGATAACCGAAGGATTTAACAAGACAACAAATTAGGACGACAAGAGACACAAGAGATAAATCCCACAAAATCCGACCTTTATGAAAGATGTAGGTTCTCTGTCAGGTTCTCTGTCAGGTTCTCTGTCAGGTTCTCTGTCAGGTTCTCTGTCAGCTGAGGTCGAGCTGTTGTTGTTTACATGTGAATTTAGTCTGCAGTACCATGGGCGCCCCCTGTGCTCGTGGGTGGGACCGCTGTAAGATAGATTAATCTATCCAGATATTATTATAGATCCATGGGTTGTACAAAGCGGAGCCGCTCATGCTAACGTGTTAGCTGCACTGAGTCCGATCACATTGACATCGTAGAGAAATATTTAATGTACATAATCATGGAGATCATGTATATTAATTAAAGCGGTGGTGAGGAACCAGTTGAGGGCCTCTCTGTCTCTCAGCTGAGAACGCCTCAGTATTACCCAAGATGAGCTGAAGGAAGTGTGTGTAGAAGGAAGCTGGGGTTCTACTCAGACTGCTGCCCTCAGTCAGCCATGGATAAAGCGGAAGAAGAAGAAGGTGGATTAATGACATGTAGAACAGCTGGAGCCCCTCCCTCTGACACAACATTCAAAAACTGCACATTGGTTTTTTTTTTACATTTTCTGTTTGTTCCGTTTTTTTTACACAAAATAGATCTCTGTGGGGGACCGGGTTAATCGTAGTCCTCGTCGTCATAGTCCTGGTCCGGGTCCAGGTCGGGGTCCTGGCTCCGGTACGGCTCCTGCGTGGAGTAACTCCGGGTCTTCATGCTGCAGTTTGAGTCCATCAGGATGGCCTGCCACAAACAGGAAACAGGAAGTATGGAGACAGGAAGCACCACTGCACTATTTGACTCTTTCCGGTAAGTAAGTAATCTTTATTTATATGGCACATTTTTACAGACCAGAAAAAACACCAATACAGTGATACTTGACCTTCAAACACATGCACAGAGTCGTTTATTCACTGATTCCCTCAAGCTTTAGTAAAAGAGTGATCTTTTCTTTCATTCTCCAGAGGCCCAAAAACGACCTGATTGGTTTTGTTACGAAGCACCAAGCCCCGGAGATCCAAGATGGCGTCCTATTCAAATCAGTACCGCTTGGGACAGCCATGGTTCTGCACAGCAACTAAAATGTGTGTTTGGATGTAACTATGTGAATTTGACCCGAAGAAGAAGAATGTGCGTGTGTATCCGAACATTCTACTCACGGGGATCTGCCTTGGAAATCTGTGAAGAATCTGCATTTGTGCGAGACACTTCTCCAAAGACTGAATGCTTACCATGAAACCGGACTTACTCAAAAGCTTATCTGGAAACCTGTGTTATGCCCCACAATGAAAAACACTCTGTGAGTACGATACAACTTGGTGTGCTCTTCTGTGAACTCAATTATTAGCGTCCGATTCTGGAGGACCTCTGGGCTCTATGTGACGGATTATCATTGTTTTAAAAAGTTTATTCTCAGGTCTGAAACGAGTATGGACCAGTGAAAGCTAAATAAGTTTGGCCCATTCCTCCCGAGGAAACTGATGGAACAGGTTTAAGGGCCTTCTTTCATGTGTTCTACAACATGTATGACATTTATCAACATTCAAGGACATTGGTCTCTCCCTATGGTCCAATACCATGTGTTCTCTCCCTATGGTCCAATACCATGTGTTCTCTCCCTATGGTCCAATACCATGTGTTCTCTCCCTATGGTCCAATACCATGTGTTCTCTCCCTATGGTCCAATACCATGTGTTCTCTCCCTATGGTCCAATACCATGTGTGTATATTCTGTGTTTTAACTGTTGATTCTCTGTGTTGGTGATTTCAATGGTTTTGTAAAGTCCTCTGAGATGATGCTATTGTGATTTAGGGCGATACAAGAATAAGTTGTTGTTGTTATTCCTCCACAGCATGATGCTCCCTCCACAGCATGATGCTCCCCCCACAGCATGATGCTCCCCCCACAGCATGATGCTCCCCCCACAGCATGATGCTCCCCCCTCCACTGATCTCATGATGATGTAATTTTGGCCCGAACAAAAGAAATAACAGTTCGTCCGAAGTCAGAGAAACACCTGAGCCTCAGTTTGGATCAGAATCAGGTCTTAACCCTGAGCTGTTTTATCAGGAGGAATGGGCCAATCTTCCACCTATTCACACCACACTGTGGGGTTCAGAGTTTTAGTTCGTCACAGTTGATGTCACAATGATGTCATAATGTTTATTACTATTACTATTGTTAGCTTTTTAGAATAATCAATTCATTTTTTTGGTTTGTGAGGATGGATGTGTTTTTGCTGCTCCCGGACGCCTCAATTTCTTCTATGGATCAATAAAGTATCTGTCTAAAAAACTGACTAACTAATGAAAGCAAAGGAAGGTTTCTCACCCGTCATCTGTACTTCTTCCCGACGTTTCGTCCTCAATCCAAAGGACTTCTTCAGGGAATGAATTCTCAGACCGCGCGTTGGAGATTTATAACCTATGGGTGTGGTTAGCTACACCCTAATCCTGATACTAACTCATAAACAATGTAAGGTCTGATGTAGAAGGGAGCAGGTCTAACGACCCTGCTGAGGCTAACGACCCTAACTCATTAGCATGTCACTGACCTTGTCCCAAGTTAGGGCGTTGTTTTTAGGATGTCGTCATAGATGCGAGGCAAAACAAATCTTAACCCTCCTCCTCTGTTAAGAGAAGGTTTTTGTTTCCTCACAAAAATGGATTCTTTCACCCCTCTCTCAAACCAATTCTTCTCCCGAGCCAGAATTTTAACCTCTGTGTCATCCACCGTGTGGTTGGAGGCCTTGAGGTGGAGATGAACAGCCGACTGTGGCCCACTAGAGTTTTCTCTACGATGTTGGTAAAGTCGTTTCTGTAGAGTTTGTTTGGTTTCTCCAATATAGTGGTCAGTGCACTCCTCTTCACTACATTTAATGGAATACACCACATTGCTCTGTTTGTGTCTGGGTGTTTTGTCTTTGGGATGCACTAATTTCTGTCTTAACGTGTTGAAAGGTTTGAAATACACAGGGATTTTGTGTTGCCTAAAGATTCTTTGTAGTTTCTCTGAAACTCCCGCCACATACGGTAAGGACACTCTCTTCTGTCTGTTGGACTGTGTCTCTGGCCTTTCTCGTCCTTTGGGCTTCAGTAAAAGACCACTTGGGGACGCCACAAGTGGTCTTTTAATAAACACGACATCCTAAAACGACATCCTAAAAACAACGCCCTGACTTGGGACAAGGTCAGTGACATGCTAAGGAGTTAGGGTCGTTAGACCTGCTCCCTTCTACATCAGACCTTACATTGTTTATGAGTTAGTCTCAGGATTAGGGTGTAGCTAACCACACGCATAGGTTATAATTCTCCAACACGCGGTCTGAGAATTCATTCCCTGAAGAAGTCCTTTGGATTGAGGACGAAACGTCGGGAAAACCTGCTAAGAAGTACAGATGACGGTGAGAAACCTTCCTTTGCTTTGACTAATCCCTGTACGACTGAGAGCGCACACAAACTGACTAACTAATGATGTCACAGGTGATGTCATAGGTGATGTCATAGGTGATGTCACATTGATGTCATAGGTGATGTCACAGGTGATGTCACAGGTGATGTCACATTGATGTCACAGGTGATGTCTTAGGTGATGTCACAGGTGATGTCTTAGGTGATGTCACTGGTGATGTCTTAGGTGATGTCACTGGTGATGTCTTAGGTGATGTCACTGGTGATGTCACACACTGGAAGCAGGCAGCATGCAGCACTAAGACTTCAGGGCCTGAAACACACGGACACAAGCTCATGCTAGTCCCCTCACACAGACACAGGCTCATGCTAGTCCCCTCACACAGACACAGGCTCATGCTAGTCCCCTCACACAGACACAGGCTCATGCTAGTCTCCTCACACAGACACAGGCTCATGCTAGTCTCCTCACAGACACAGGCTCATGCTAGTCTCCTCACACAGACACAGGCTCATGCTAGTCTCCTCACACAGACACAGGCTCATGCTAGTCTCCTCACACAGACACAGGCTCATGCTAGTCTCCTCACAGACACAGGCTCATGCTAGTCTCCTCACACAGACACAGGCTCATGCTAGTCTCCTCACAGACACAGGCTCATGCTAGTCTCCTCACACAGACACAGGCTCATGCTAGTCTCCTCACAGACACAGGCTCATGCTAGTCTCCTCACAGACACAGGCTCATGCTAGTCTCCTCACAGACACAGGCTCATGCTAGTCTCCTCACAGACACAGGCTCATGCTAGTTCCGTCCCTAATCAATGGATCGTGCTCAGTAGCGCTTGGGACCTATTGGGACAGAAAGATTAGCAGAACTCTCTCTCTGGTCTTTCTCTATCGCCCGGTTTCCACCGCAGGAGTTCCTGGTGAAAGGAGCGGGATGGAACTTTATCAGGAACCGTCCTCTAGAACCACTCAGCGACGTCATATGAGTTTCGATTGCTGCATAAGCAAAACTTATAACGCCAAACCCATTTGTTTATTTTATGTTGTAACCGCTACGGTTGTTGTGGAAGAGTGTGAAGACAGTCAGGACCATGTGAGCAGCAGCAGGAACAGTGTGGGGCCAGTCAGGACCATGTGAGGACAGTCAAGACCATGAGACAACATGCTGTCAGACACACTCACAATCTTCTCCTCGTTTCCTGGTGGACTCCGCAGGAACCAGCAGAGAGGAGCAAACAGGATGTCCACCAAACCAATGATCCTCATGAGCCACGGGAACCCGATAGACGCCGCGATAGAACCACCAATAGAAGGACCTGGAGAGAGACCAGAGTGAGACCAGAGTGAGACTAGAGTGAGATCAGAGAGAGATCAGAGAGAGATCAGAGAGAGAGACCAGAGAGAGACCAGAGAGAGACCAGAGAGAGACCAGAGTGAGACCAGAGTGAGACTAGAGTGAGATCAGAGAGAGACCAGAGAGAGACCAGAGAGAGACCAGAGAGAGACCAGAGTGAGACCAGAGTGAGACCAGAGAGAGACCAGAGAGAGACCAGAGAGAGACCAGAGAGAGACCAGAGAGAGACCAGAGAGAGACCAGAGAGAGACCAGATAGGAATGCATTTTTGAGGCAGTTATAATCTGCTGCAGTGAGAAGCTGGTTCTGACCCAGAGCGAAGCCCATGCAGAAGGCCACGTCCGCGATGGCGTAGACGCTGCCGTAGACCGACACGTGCCGCAGGTCCACCAGGTATCCCATGATCGGCATCATGGACGAGTCCACCATCCCTGAACACACACATCTACTCAATTCTCTCCTGTGTTTCTACACTTCCCTGTCCTACTGAAGAAAAGCAGCCCCAAAGTATGATGCTGCCCCCACCATGTCAGCGGCTGCAAGACCTGAGAGACTGAACCAAGAGGACCAGGATCTCTGCACCTCTGCACCTCTGAAGAGGACCAGGACTTGGACCAAGACCTGGACCAGGACTGGGACTTACTCTGGTGGAGGACGTCCCAACGTTTACATGTAACCCACCAAACATGACATGTTATTTTGTGATGCTGTTCCTTTAACTGTTCGCTAAAGGTGCGTTTCCACATCATTCCATTAGAGGGCGCTATTATTGTTCATGTGAATGCTCCGCCATCTTGTGAGAAGTTGGACATTATGTAAGAGAAACGATGCACAAAAGTGTTTAAAATATTACTGAAATGTGTTATTATTAAAACTTGTTTTGGGTTCTTAGAGTTGACAATAACAGCGAGAGGCACCGGAGACCAGGATTTTTTTGAGTTTTGTGTGTTCTTGATCTCCCGTGAGTCAGTTACTATGCTAAGCTAGTCTATGCTAAACTAGTCTATGCTAAACTAGTTTATGTTAAGCTAGTCTATGCTAAGCTAGTCTATGCTAAACTAGTCTATGCTAAACTAGTTCACGACACCGGATTTTCTTTTGTTATGATATTGATTATTTATTTAACAATCAATCAGAGAACATGTGAAACTATATTCAGATGAGAACTATTTGCAGGAACATGATTATAAGAAAGGTTTTACTTAACAATGTGAATGAGAACCGTGACGTCGCCCGGCATGGCGCAGCCGGGGCCCCACCCTGGAGCCAGGCCTGGGGTCGGGGCTCGCAAGCGAGCGCCTGGTGGCCGGGCCTTAGCCCACGGGGCCCGGCCGGGCTCAGCCCGAAGGGATGACGTTGGCAGTCCCTCCTGTGGGCCCACCACCTGCAGAGGGGTCCGTGGTGGCGAGGTGCAGAGAGGACTGGGCGGCAGTCGAAGGCGGAGACCTCGACGACCCAGTCCACACACCCAACATCTGGCTCTTGGGACGTGGAACGTCACCTCACTGGGGGGGAAGGAGCCCGAGCTCGTGGGGGAGGTTGAGCGATACCGACTAGAGATAGTCGGCCTCACCTCCACACACAGCTTGGGCTCTGGAACCCAACTCCTTGAGAGGGGTTGGACGCTCCACTTTTCTGGTGTTTCCCGCGGGGAGAGGCGGCGAGCTGGGGTGGCCATACTCATTGCCCCCCATCTCAGCCGCCACGTGTTGGAGTTCTCCCCGGTGAATGAGAGGGTCGCGTCCCTCCGCCTCCGGGTGGGGGACAAGTCTCTCACTGTTGTGACGGCCTACGGGCCTAATGGTAGTGCAGAGTACCCGGCCTTCTTGGAGTCCTTGGGAGGGGTACTGGACAGTGCACCGCCCGGGGACTCCGTTATTCTCCTGGGGGACTTCAACGCCCATGTGGGAAATGCCAGTGACACTTGGAGAGGGGTGATCGGGAAGAACGGCCCCCCTGATCTGAACCCGAGTGGTGTTCAGTTGTTGGACTTCTGTGCTAGTCACAGTTTGTCCATCACGAACACCATGTTCGAGCACAAGGGTGTCCACCAGTGCACGTGGCACCAGGACACCCTAGGCCGGAGGTCGATGATCGACTTTGTAGTTGTATCATCTGACCTTCGACCGCGTGTTGTGGACACTCGGGTAAAGAGAGGGGCGGAGCTGTCAACCGATCATCACCTGGTCGTGAGTTGGATCCGCTGGCAGGGGAAGAAGCCGGTCAGACCTGGCAGACCCAAGCGTATAGTGAGGGTCTGCTGGGAACGTCTCGCTGAGCCCCCTGTCAGACGGACTTTCAACTCACACCTCCGGGAGAGCTTCTCCCAGGTCCCGGCAGAGGAAGGGGACATCGAGTCCGAGTGGACCATGTTCTCTTCCTCTATCGCCAATGCAGCGGCTCGTAGCTGTGGTCGCAAGGTCTCTGGTGCTGGTCCCGGCGGCAATCCCCGAACCCGGTGGTGGACACCGGCAGTAAGGGATGCCGTCAGGCTGAAGAAGGAGTCCGTCAGGCTGAAGAAGGAGTCCTATCGAGCAATGATGGTTCGTGGGACTCCTGAGGCAGCTGTCCAGTACCGGCAGGCCAAACGTGCCGCGGCCCGGGCTGTTGCAGAGGCAAAAACCCGGTACTGGGAGGAGTTCGGAGAGTCCATGGAGCATGACTATCGGTCGGCCTCGAAGAGGTTCTGGCAAACCGTCCGGCGCCTCAGGAGGGGGAAGCAGTTCTTTGCCAACACCGTGTATGGTGCGGGTGGAGGGCTGCTGACCTCGACTGGGGATATTGTCGGGCGGTGGAAGGAATACTTCGAGGTTCTCCTCAATCCCCCCGTCACGTCCTCCGTCCAGGAGGCAGAGGCTGAGGATGTTGGGGCGGATACTTCCATCTCCCTGGCCGAGGTCACCAAGGTGGTTGGCAGCCTCCATGGTGGCAAGGGCGCCGGGAGTGGATGAGATCCGTCCTGACTATCTAAAGTCTCTGGATGTTGTAGGACTGTCTTGGCTGACACGTCTCTGCAACATCGCGTGGCGATCGGGGGCGGTGCCAATGGAGTGGCAGACCGGGGTGGTGGTCCCTCTCTACAAGAAGGGGGACCGGAGGGTGTGTTCCAATTATCGTGGGATCACACTCCTCAGCCTCCCCGGTAAGGTCTACTCCAAGGTACTGGAGAGGAGGCTACGTCCGATGGTCGAATCTCGGATTCAGGAGGAGCAGTGTGGTTTTCGTCCCGGTCGCGGAACACTGGACCAGCTCTATACTCTCCATCGGATACTCGAGGGTTCATGGGAGTTCGCCCAACCTGTCCACATGTGCTTTGTGGATTTGGAGAAGGCGTTCGACCGTGTTCCCCGGGGTGTCCTTTGGGGGGTCCTCCGGGAGTACGGGGTCCGGGGTCCTCTGCTGAGGGCTGTTCGGTCCCTGTATGACCGGAGCCAGAGCTGTGTTCGCATTGCCGGCAGTAAGTCAGACCTGTTCCCGGTGCATGTTGGCCTCCGCCAAGGCTGCCCTTTGTCACCGGTTCTGTTCACTGTATTTATGGACAGAATCTCTAGGCGCAGCCAGGGGCCGGAGGGGGTCCGGTTCGGGAACCATAGGATTTCATCTCTACTTTTTGCGGATGATGTCGTCCTGCTGGCTCCAACGAACCAGGACCTGCAACATGCACTGGAGCGGTTTGCAGCCGAGTGTGAAGCGGCTGGGATGAGAATCAGCACCTCCAAATCTGAGGCCATGGTGCTCGACCGGAAAAAGGTGCCTTGCCCTCTTCAGGTGGGTGGAGAGGTCCTTCCTCAAGTGGAGGAGTTCAAGTATCTCGGGGTCTTGTTCACGAGTGAGGGAAGGATGGAGCGTGAGATTGACAGGCGGATCGGTGCAGCGTGCGCAGTGATGCGGTCTCTGTATCGGACCGTTGTGGTAAAGAGGGAGCAGCGTCTGCAGTCAGAGCTGTATCGGACCGTTGTGGTAAAGAGGGAGCAGCGTCTGCAGTCAGAGCTGTATCGGACCGTTGTGGTAAAGAGGGAGCTGAGCCGAAAGGCAAAGCTCTCAATTTACCGGTCAATCTTCGTTCCCTCCCTCACCTATGGTCATGAGCTGTGGGTAATGACCGAAAGAACGAGATCGCGGATACAAGCGGTCGAAATGAGCTTCCTCCGCAGAGTGGCTGGGCGCTCCCTTAGAGATAGGGTGAGGAGCTCAGTCACACGGGAGGAGCTCGGAGTAGAGCCGCTGCTACTCCACGTCGCACCATTGTGTGCACCATGTGCACCATGTGCACCATGTGCACTTGTATATTGTAAATAGTAACTGTAACTCTATTTTAAATTTAAATTTATTCTTTAGAAGTGTTTTTTATTCTTATTTTTATTATCTCTTTTTGACTGTTGCACTGAGCCAAAGCAATTTCCAAGTCTGTGACCTCCCGTTACTTACGTTGGCAATAAAAATGATTCTGATTCTGATTCTGATTCTGAGAGGAACCAGTTGAGGTGGCTCAGGCATCTGTTCAGGATGCCTCCTGGACGCCTCCCTGGGGAGGTGTTCCGGGCACGTCCCACCGGGAGGAGGCCCCGGGGAAGACCCAGGACACGCTGGAGAGACTATGTCTCTCAGCTGGCCTGGGAACGCCTTGGGATCCCCCCGGACGAGCTGGAGGAGGTGTGTGTGGATAGGGAAGTCTGGGCGTCTCTGCTTAGACTGCTGCCCCCGCGACCCGGCAACGGATAAAGCGGAAGAAAATGGATGGATGGATGGATGTTAATGTTGCATTTGAACGCACTGTGTGAAATCCTAAAGCTTCTGTCTGTGATTAGATGTAGAAGGAGATTAGATAAAACTCATCTACATAAATATCGACTATGAGAGAATATTATATTATATATTAATGTTATCCTGCTTATGCAGGTTGGTTTTCTAAGACCTGAGAACTGTTTGGTGCTTGGTCGGTGTCATGGAGTCTTTCCTCCAACCTTGGCCTTCATCGCGAACAGATGAAGAGCTGAGACTTTGTGCACATTCAACAACAGTACAATCAAACTACCTGGGGAGATGAAAACTATTTTTCAGAGCTCTAAACTTTATTTTTTTGGTTGATCCAAAGGAACTAATAAACATTACATAGGGGTAGACATTATTTTTTCAAAGGGACATTTGTGTTTCGGAATTGTTCATTGTTCAAACATAAATATTAAAGATATAAAGAAGCTGACCAATGGCGAATCCAGCTCCAAAGTTCGGGAGGATGAGACCATAGATGTTAGAGGCAAATGGCACCTGGAAAACACACAATATCAGAGACACACACACACACACACACACGCACACGCACACACACACAGACGCACACACGCACGCACACACACACGCACTCTGAACTCACACAGAGGATACTGACTCCCACCAGCACCATCCCGATCATTGCACACAGCCACCTGCAAAACACACAATTGACAAAATCTGTCCCACTGTTAATGCAAATGTCTGTAACTCTCAGACCCATAGAACTCTGTATTAAACCCATGTCTCTGGTTCTGGCTCTAAAACAGTTGCTTCTGTCACTAGTTTCACATCATGTATTTGTGATGTCACATCTTTAGATCAAAGAAAGGACCACCCTCACTCAGCCAATCAGCTCTCAAAAGACTCACAGGGAAAAAAGACTTTCTGCCTGTAACCCCTTTAGTGTGCATGACATGACTCCAGTGTGAAATCACCACAGTGTGACATCACCACAGTGTGACATCACCACAGTGTGACATCACCACAGTGTGACATCACCACAGTGTGACATCACAGTGTTGGCCTTAATGCAAAAGAAGGGGATAACAACGGGATAGAGTATTACTAGCTTAAAGCGGTCCCACCTATGGCCACAGGGGGCGCTGTGGTACTGCAGACTAAATTCACGAGGGCTACCCAGAAAAAAGTCCCATAGAACTCAATGTAAACTAAAACAGCTCGACCTCAGCTGACACAGAACCTACAGCTTTCAGAAAGATCGGATTTTGTGGGGATTTTAGTGTCTCTTGTCGTCCTGAACTTTTTTTCTTCTTAAATCCTTCGGTTTTCTTTAAATCCACACTTTACTGCCACAAACTCTGCTCCTGTCCTTCCCGCTCTGGCTCCGCTCTGCTGCTGCTCTGATGAACTGCTCTGATTGGTCAGAGCGCGGCCGAGCCCCTCTGTGCACGTGCATGAGAGCCACACACGCGTATTTAGTGCAAAGCATCATGGGAGCTCGTCCACTGGGCAGAGCCGGGAGGACCAGACGATGCCCAAATATAGACGAGTTCCGCTAATCTCCTGGTCTCCGTGAAGTCCCATGATCTACTGAGCACAAGCCATTCATTTGAACAGGGCGCCATCTTGGATCACCGGGGCTTGGAGCAGACCTGTTGCTAAGACAAGCTTGAGTTTTGAATGAGGGCCTCTGATTGGTCAGTTATTATATGGCTCATATTTGGATTCCTAAAGACGTATAAACAGCAGGATTAAACCACAGATAAACCACAGACTTTAGCCCAAAATGGTGATGTCTCGCAAATGCTAGAGGTTACTTTCACATGGACGTCAATAGGAGCCAGAGAGAGGAGCCAGAGAGAGGAGCCAAACTTCACCATGAGCTCTTCCCTGTTGCAGGGATGAGAATGAGACAGTGAAATGTCAGCCAATAGTCGAAAACAGTTTTTCATCTTGTTCGATGTATATTTCCCAGATCTCACTTTGGTCCAAAACGCCACATTTGTGAAGTAAGTTTGCCAACAAAGTTCATTTTCAATGTCTTGACATGGGCTACGATAGCTCCATGGCTACGATAGCTCCATGGCTACGATAGCTCCATGGCTACGATAGCTCCATGGCTACGATAGCTCCATGGCTATGACAGCTCCATGGCTACGATAGCTCCATGACAACGATAGCTCCATGGCTACGATATCTCCATGGCTACGATAGCTCCATGACAACGATAGCTCCATGGCTACGATAGCTCCATGGCTATGATAGCTCCATGGCTATGATAGCTCCATGGCTACGATAGCTCCATGGCTACGATAGCTCCATGGCTACGATAGCTCCATGGCTACGATAGCTCCATGACAACGATAGCTCCATGGCTACGATAGCTCCATGGCTACGATAGCTCCATGGCTATGATAGCTCCATGGCTACGATAGCTCCATGGCTACGATAGCTCCATGACAACGATAGCTCCATGGCTACAATAGCTCCATGGCTACGATAGCTCCATGGCTACGATAGCTCCATGACAACGATAGCTCCATGGCTACGATAGCTCCATGGCTACGATAGCTCCATGGCTATGATAGCTCCATGGCTATGATAGCTCCATGGCTACGATAGCTCCATGACAACGATAGCTCCATGGCTACGATAGCTCCATGACAACGATAGCTCCATGGCTACGATAGCTCCATGACAACGATAGCTCCATGGCTACAATAGCTCCATGGCTACGATAGCTCCATGGCTATGATAGCTCCATGGCTACGATAGCTCCATGGCTACGATAGCTCCATGGCTACAATAGCTCCATGGCAACGATAGCTCCATGGCTACGATAGCTCCATGGCTACGATAGCTCCATGGCTACGATAGCTCCATGGCTATGATAGCTCCATGGCTATGATAGCTCCATGGCTACGATAGCTCCATGGCTATGATAGCTCCATGGCTATGATAGCTCCATGGCTACGAGTCTGAAATAAGAACCTGACAGAGAACCTACAGCCCCATAAAGATCAGACTTTATGGGGCTGTTAGTGTTCTGCCGTCCTCAACTTTTTTCTTCTTAAAGTCCTCGAAGCACGGAACACACATCCTGCTCAGAAAGAAAACAGTAAACTGATAAAAATACTCTCTAGTCTCTCTCTGGTCTCCCTCTGGTCTCTCTCTGGTCTCTCTCTGGTCTCTCTCTGGTCTCTCTCTGGTCTCTCTCTGGTCTCTCTCTGGTCTCTCTCTGGTCTCTCTCTGGTCTCTCTCTGGTCTCTCTCTGGTCTCTCTCCGGTCTCTCTCCGGCCTCTCTCTGGTCTCTCTCTGGTCTCTCTCCGGTCTCTCTCTGGTCTCTCTCTGGTCTCTCTCTGGTCTCTCTCTGGTCTCTCTCTGGTCTCTCTCCGGTCTCTCTCCGGCCTCTCTCTGGTCTCTCTCTGGTCTCTCTCCGGTCTCTCTCTGGTCTCTCTCTGGTCTCTCTCTGGTCTCTCTCCGGTCTCTCTCCGGCCTCTCTCTGGTCTTTCTCTGGTCTTTCTAGTCTATCTCTGGTCTCTCTCTGGTCTCTTTCTGGTCTGGTTTTGAATCTGGTCCAGATCCTGAGATTACAGACCCATGTTTTATTTCTGAGCAGGAGCAGAAACACAAAAGCATCTTATGAAAAACAAGATAAGATTTAATAACAGCCGCTGGAGAGATGTACGATACACAGTGAGGAGGGGCCTGGTCCAGACCTGCTCCAGGCTTTAGTCCAGAACTGGTCCAGGCTTTAGTCCAGAGATGGTCCAATCCAGACCTGGTCTAGGCTTAAGTCAAGTCTATTAATTTAAATGTATTTGTGGAGAACCCTCAATCACAACAGCAGTCGTCTCAGAGGACCGTCTCAGTCCTAATCCTGTTCATGGTGCTGATGCTGATGCTGGTTCTGGTCCTGGTCTGGTCTGGTCTTGGTCCTGGTCCTGACCTGCCGATGCGGTGAGCCATGGTTCCAAAGATGTTGGTGCCGATGAGATACGAGATGGAGGCAGGAAGAAAAGCCACACCTGCAAGACCAAATAGACCATCAAGAGAGACCAGAGAGAGACCAGAGAGAGACCACAGAAAGAGACCAGAGGGAGACAAGCAAGAGAGAGACCAGAGAGAGAGACCAGAGTGAGACCAGAGAGAGAGAGACCAGAGTGAGACCAGAGAGAGAGAGACCAGAGAGAGACCAGAGAGAGAGAGACCAGAGAGAGACCAGAGAGAGACCAGAGAGAGAGAGACCAGAGTGAGACCAGAGAGAGAGAGACCAGAGAGAGACCAGAGAGAGAGAGACCAGAGAGAGACCAGAGGGATACCAGAGAGAGAGACCAGAGAGAGACCAGAGGGAGACCAGAGAGAGACCAGAGAGAGAGACCAGAGAGAGAACAAAAATACGTCATGTGAAAACTAGTGACAGAAGCAACTGTTTTAGAGCCAGAACCAGAGACATGGGTTTGTTACAGAGATCTGTTGGTCTGAAAGTTACAAACTGGTCCAGACCTAGTTTAGACCTGGTCCAGACCTGGTCCATATCAGATCCCTGCTGCACCTGGCTGCTGTAATTTCCTGTCTGAGTGTATATTTGTTATCTCCACACGTCTCATAACGCAGCCTCACATCTGCGGAGGGCGCTTCACGCGTCACGTCTGCGCGGAGGCGAGAGGGAGGGGAGGGGGAGTGCAGAGAGGAGGGAGTGGAAGGAGGGGGAGGAGGAGGAGGGGGGGGGAGGAGGGGGGGGGGGGGGGGAGTGCAGGGAGGAGGGAGTGGAAGGAGGGGGGAGGAGGAGGGGGGGGGGGGGGAGTGCAGGGAGGAGGGAGTGGAAGGAGGGGGGAGGAGGAGGGGGGGGAGGAGGAGGAGGAGGGGGGGAGTGCAGAGAGGAGTGGAAGGGGGTGGAAGGGAGGGGGGGAGGAGGGGGGAGGGGGGGGAGGAGGGGGAGGGGGGGGGAGGAGGGAGAGGGGGGGGGGGGGGAAGGGAGGGAGGGAGTGGAAGGAGGGGGGGAGTGAGGGAGGAGGGGGTGGGGGAGGAGGAGGGGGGGGGGAGTGCAGGGAGGAGGGGTGGGGAGTGCAGGAGGAGGGAGGTGGGGAGGGGAGGAGGAGGGGGGGGGAGGAGGAGGGGGGGGGAGTGCAGAGAGGAGGGGGGGGGAGTGCAAGGAGGAGGAGGGGGAGGGGGGGTGCAGGGAGGAGGGAGTGGAAGGAGGGGGGGGAGGAGGGGGGGGGGGGGGGGCGTTATGCAAATTGCACACGGCAAAGACGGATGAGTTCATAACGGGAGAATATATGAATTCTGCAAAAGGACAGGGGACCCTCTCTGGTCTCCCCCTAGTCTCTTTATGAGGTCTCTCCCTCTGGTCTCTCGCTCTAGTCCCTCTCTGGTCTCTCTCTAGTCTCTCTCTGGTCTCTCTCTGGTCTCCCAATGGTCTCTCTCTGGTCTCTCTCTGGTCTCTCTCTGGTCTCTCTCTAGTCTCTCTCTCAGGTCTCTCTCTGGCCCCTTTCTGGTCTTTCTTTCTGGTGTCTCTCAGGTCTCTCTGATCTCTCCCTTGGTCCCTCTCTCTGGTGTCTTACCCAGTTGCCACTTGTGTGCACACATGGTCTCCATCATCCAGATGGGCAGGGTGGGCTCCAACATAGCGATGCCCATGTTCCCAAAGCAGATGGTTCCTGGTAAAACAGATCAATAATATTTACTTTTCTCTAGACTTTCTGGTTCTGGCACCAGAGAGAGACCAGAGAAAGGGACCAGAATGAGACCAGAGAGAGAGAGACAAGAGAGCCTAGAGAGAGATAAGAGAGACCAGAGGGAGACCAACGAGAGGCCAGAGGGTGACCAGAGACAGACACACGAGAGAGACCAGAGAGAGTCCTTCATAGTCCATCAGCAACACTTACTGGTGTCTGTTTCTGGTTTTACCTGCAGCAATGATGATGTAGGGGTCCTTCATCAGTGTGAGCAGAGGAGTCCCCTTCTGACTCTGAAATACACACACCATCAGAGACCAGAGAGAGACCATGAGAGACCAGAGACCAGAGAGAGACCAGTGAGAGGTGTCTCTGGTCTCTCGGTTACGTATCATGTGAAACCCTCTGCTTCTCTTTCATTTAGTATCAATCCTTTTGTTCAGAGCCTCGTTAATTCCGGACTCATCACCTGCAGCCGACAAAGGACCACAAGGCCTTTCATCAGACCTCATTATGATAGACCTAGTTCAGATCTGGTTCAGACCTGGTTCAGACCTGGTTCAGACCTGGTTCAGACCTGGTTCAGACCTGGTTCAGACCTGGTTCAGACCTGGTTCAGACCTGGTTCAGACCTGGTTCAGACCTGGTTCAGACCAATGTAAATATATATTAAAAAATATAAATTTCACCGCAAACGGCCTCTGACTGGATTATAAGCCTGTAAATTGTAGACTCAGACCCAGACCTGGATTTACGGTAGAATCAGACCCATACCCAAACTTGGATCCAGATCCTGAACCAGGTCTGGACCCTGGCCCAGACCTGGGTCTGACCTAGCGTGGTCATGGATCTATAATACTAACGACCGCACCTCGAGTCCAAACACTCACTTCCTTCCAGGCTCTTATCAGACTTAAACCTCCTCTGTTTCCACAGCTAAATGTTTCCATCAAATGTCCTTGTTCATCTGAGCCAAAATGTCCTTTTTTGTTTTTTTGTTGAACTATTTTAAAATGTTTGCATTAAAGAAATAACAACCACTGATTGCCAACTTGTGGGCCGGCTGCAGGTATGTACCAAAACCAGTGGGGGCGGGTCCCGGCTCAAAAACGTCCACGAGCACGTGCGCTGACATGCTCACTCTGGGCCTGTGGGGGTGGACCCAGAAGGAGAATTATCCAAGGTTTTTGTTTGGCGTCTTCTTTCCTCTGGAAAACGTCTTCATGCGATGGTTCAAAGGTCGATGGTTCAAAAGTCGATGGTTTAAAAGTCGATGGTTCAAAAGTTGATGGTTCAAGGTCGATGGTTCAAAGGTCAATGGTTCAAAGGTCGATGGTTCAAAGGTTGATGGTTCAAAGGTCAATGGTTCAAAGGTCGATGGTTCAAAGGTCGATGGTTCAAAGGTCGATGGTTCAAAGGTCAATGGTTCAAAGGTCGATGGTTCAAAGGTCGATGGTTCAAAGGTCGATGGTCCAAAGCTCCAGATGGTGTCAGTGCTGAGACATCTGCATTGACATATTTATGGAACCAGTCTAGTTTAGCCGCTGTGGATTTTTTAATGCACTCTTAAATGGGGCTGGTGCGGCTAACGCGTGCGCAAATTTGTTTTTTCACATTTTCCCGAGGGAGGGGCCGCCTGCGGCCATTTTGAAAAAGCCCACAGAAGCCAGTAGTGATGTCACATTAGTTTCAACACGTACATTCATATAGTTTACAGTCTATGGCCAAAACCTGAGCTGAACATCTGCTAAAAAATGACATTGTGGTAGAAACAGTAACTGTGGAAACCATGGTAACGGTCAAAAGTCAGATTCTTCTGAGTTTGGAGCTGAGTTCTGTGTTTTCTGATCCTCATGAATCTAAAACACTCACCTCTGGCTCCACTTTGGTCGGTTCCAGAACAAAGAGCTGCAGAGCTACAACACAAAACACACCTGAGGTTAGCCTGCTAATGCTAATGCTAATGCTAATGCTAATGCTATAGACACATGAGGCACAGGAGCCAGTCTGCTAATGCTATACTGAAGAGACATGAGGTCCTACGGACGCGGGCATGCTAACACTGAGGCTAGTGCTAAAGCTAATGCTAATCATTATTTTTTAAACTTAGTCTCACCTCCGTCAAACAGAGCAATAAAAGCCAAGATCAGGAACGGAGCAGTTTTCCCCACGAACTCATACATAACACTGCCGAAGGGAGGACCCACTGTGGACACACACACAGACACACACAGACACACACAGACACACACAGACACGCACAGACACACACAGAGACAGACCCACACCTGTGTTAGTCGTCCGCGGTCCCCACATTGAGACCTCTCAGTGATACAGACCCAGGACGCCCAGAGCCAGACCTCCCAGAGCGATGCCGATGGCGTGACCTCTTTCCTCATCGTCAGTGTACACACTGGCCAGCATCCCCATCCCTGAGTGTGGCACATACAGGACAGTAAGAGCACACAGGGAGCACACACCAGGAAGAACCAGGAAGACCAGGGAGACCAGGAAGACCAGGGAGACCAGGGAGACCAGGGGGACCAGGAGGACTAAGGTAACCAGAAAGACCAGAGGGACCAGAGAGATCACAGATCAGGAAGACCAAAAAGTTCCGAGACCAGCGGGATCAGAGAATAGAGAGAGACCAGAGAGATCAGAAGGACCCTCTGGGGGAGAGACCACAGACCAGACAAACTGAAGAGAGAGACCAGAGAGACAAGAGAGAGACCAGAGAGAGACCAGAGAGAGACCAGAGAGAGACCAGAGAGAGACCAGAGAGAGACCAGAGAGAGAGACCAGAGAGAGAGACCAGAGAGAGAGACCAGAGAGAGACCAGAGAGAGACCAGAGAGAGACCAGAGAGAGACCAGAGAGAGACCAGAGAGAGACTAGAGAGAGACCAGAGAGAGACCAGAGAGAGACCAGAGAGAGACCAGAGAGAGACCAGAGAGAGACCAGAGAGAGACCAGAGAGAGACCAGAGAGAGACCAGAGAGAGACCAGAGAGAGACCAGAGAGAGACCAGAGAGAGAGACCAGAGAGAGACCAGAGAGAGACCAGAGAGACAAGAGAGAGACCAGAGAGAGACCAGAGAGACAAGAGAGAGACCAGAGAGATACCAGAGAGAGACCAGAGAGAGACCAGAGAGAGACCAGAGAGAAACCAGAGAGAGAGACCAGAGAGAGACCAGAGAGAGACCAGAGAGAGACCAGAGAGAGACCAGAGAGAGACCAGAGAGAGAGACCAGAGAGAGAGACCAGAGAGAGACCAGAGAGAGACCAGAGAGAGAGACCAGAGAGAGAGACCAGAGAGAGACCAAGAGAGAGAGAGAGACCAGAGAGAGACCAGAGAGAGAGACCAGAGAGAGAGACCAGAGAGAGACCAGAGAGAGACCAGAGAGAGAGACCAGAGAGAGAGACCAGAGAGAGACCAGAGAGAGACCAGAGAGACAAGAGAGAGACCAGAGAGAGACCAGAGAGAGACCAGAGAGAGAGACCAGAGAGAGAGACCAGAGAGAGAGACCAGAGAGAGACCAGAGAGAGAGACCAGAAAGAGAGACCAGAGAGAGACCAGAGAGAGAGACCAGAGAGAGACCAGAGAGAGACCAGAGAGAGACCAGAGAGAGAGACCGGAGAGAGAGACCAGAGAGAGACCAGAGACAGACCAGAGAGAGAGACCAGAGAGAGAGACCAGAGAGAGACCAGAGAGAGAGAGAGAGAGAGAGAGACCAGAGAGAGACCAGAGAGAGACATTTTTATACCTGCGACTGATGAACATGACGAGCCGATCCCTTGCATCGAGCGAGCCACAAACAGAAGAAAGTAACTGGAGGAGAAGGCAAACACTGCAGGAGGACAGAGCATTAGACCGAAGACCCGTGATAACATGAGACTGAAGAGACTGAAGACGTACTGATAGTGGACAGGAACATGATGCAGAAACCAGCGAAGATTGGGATCTGGTACCCGATCCTGCACACACACCAGAAATACAATATTAGAGAGACCAGAGAGAGACCAGAGAGAGACCAAAGAGAGACCAGAGAGAGAGATTAGAGAGAGACCAGAGAGAGAGAGACCAGAGAGAGAGACCAGAGAGGGACCAGAGAGAGAGACCAGAGAGAGACCAGAGAGAGAGAGACCAGAGAGAGAGACCAGAGAGGGACCAGAGAGAGAGACCAGAGAGAGAGAGACCAGAGAGAGAGACCAGAGAGGGACCAGAGAGAGACCAGAGAGAGACCAGAGAGAGAGAGACCAGAGAGAGACCAGAGAGAGACCAGAGAGAGAGACCAGAGAGAGACCAGAGAGAGACCAGAGAGAGAGAGACCCAGAGAGAGATCAGAGAGATACCAGAGAGAGAGATTAGAGAGATACCAGAGAGACACCAGAGAGAGACCAGAGAGAGAGACACCAGAGAGAGACCAGAGAGAGACCAGAGAGAGAGATCAGAGAGAGACCATAGAGTGAGACCAGGGAGAGACCAGAGAGAGACCAGAGAGAGACTCGAAATAAGGGACCAGAGAGGGACTAGAGAGAGACCAGAGTGAGACCAGAGAAAGACCACAGAGAGACCGGAGTGAGACCGGAGAGAGACCATAGAGAGACCAGAGAGAGCAGTGAGACCAGAGTTAGACCAGAGTGCGACCAGAGAGAGACCAGAGAGAGAGAGACCAGAGAGAGAGAGACCAGAGAGAGCTGTGATACCAGTGAGAGACCATAAATGGGTTTAATACAGGGTGTCTAATGTTGTGGTCCTAAAGTTACGAACCCCAGCTTTAAAGTTTTTTCCCAGAGTTCTCGGAGTAAACATGTGTTTAGAGCTGCAGTGATGAGCAGTGGAGACAGGAGCGAGCGGCCGACTGTCAATAAGACGTTAATGTGGTTTTTAACGGCGCACTTCCTGGTTCTGTCTTTATGCATCAAATCACACAAACAAGAGAAACACGAGAAATCCACTTAGCCTCAAGTGATGTCACACACAATACAACCATGTGGGCTGAGCAGAGACAGACGGCTCCAGACATGGCTCTAACACAGCGTCTCTCTGGTCTCGCTCTCTGGTCTCGCTCTCTGGTATCGCTCTCTGGTCTCGCTCTCTGGTCTCGCTCTCTGGTCTCGTCTCGGTCTCGCTCTCTGGTCTCGCTCTCTGGTCTCGCTCTCTGGTCTCGCTCTCTGGTCTCGCTCTCTGGTCTCGCTCTCTGGTCTCGCTCTCTGGTCTCGCTCTCTGGTCTCGCTCTCTGGTCTCGCTCTCTGGTCTCGGTCTCGCTCTCTGGTCTCGCTCTCTGGTCTCGGTCTCGCTCTCTGGTCTCGCTCTCTGGTCTCGCTCTCTGGTCTCGCTCTCTGGTCTCGCTCTCTGGTCTCGCTCTCTGGTCTCGGTCTCGCTCTCTGGTCTCGCTCTCTGGTCTCGCTCTCTGGTCTCGCTCTCTGGTCTCGCTCTCTGGTCTCGCTCTCTGGTCTCGCTCTCTGGTCTCGCTCTCTGGTCTCGCTCTCTGGTCTCGCTCTCTGGTCTCGCTCTCTGGTCTCGCTCTCTGGCTCTCGCTCTCTGGTCTCGCTCTCTGGTCTCTCGCTCTCTGGTCTCTCGCTCTCTGGTCTTGCTCTCTGGTCTCGCTCTCGCTCTCTGGTCTTGCTCTCTGGTCTCGCTCTCTGGTCTCTCGCTCTCTGGTCTCGCTCTCTGGTCTCGGCTCTCGCTCTCTGGTCTCGCTCTCTGGTCTCGCTCTCTGGTCTCGCTCTCTGGTCTCGGTCTCGCTCTCTGGTCTCGCTCTCTGGTCTCGCTCTCTGGTCTCGCTCTCTGGTCTCGCTCTCTGGTCTCGCTCTCTGGTCTCCTCTCTGGTCTCGCTCTCTGGTCTCGCTCTCTGGTCTCGCTCTCTGGTCTCGCTCTCTGGTCTCGCTCTCTGGTCTCGCTCTCTCGCTCTCTGGTCGCGCTCTCTGGTCTCGGTCTCGCTCTCTGGTCTCGCTCTCTGGTCTCGCTCTCTGGTCTCTCGGTCTCGCTCTCTGGTCTCGCTCTCTGGTCTCGGTCTCGCTCTCTGGTCTCGCTCTCTGGTCTCGCTCTCTGGTCTCGCTCTCTGGTCTCGCTCTCTGGTCTCTCGCTCTCTGGTCTCGCTCTCTGGGTCTCGGTCTCGCTCTCTGGTCTCGGTCTCGCTCTCTGGTCTCGCTCTCTGGTCTCGCTCTCTGGTCTCGGTCTCGCTCTCTGGTCTCGCTCTCTGGTCTCGCTCTCTGGTCTCGCTCTCTGGTCTCGCTCTCTGGTCTCGCTCTCTGGTCTCGCTCTCTGGTCTCGCTCTCTGGTCTCGGTCTCGCTCTCTGGTCTCGCTCTCTGGTCTCTCTCTGGTCTCGCTCTCTGGTCTCGCTCTCTGGTCTCGCTCTCTGGTCTCGCTCTCTGGTCTTGCTCTCTGGTCTTGCTCTCTGGTCTCACTCTCTGGTCTCGCTCTCTGGTCTCGCTCTCTGGTCTCGCTCTCTGGTCTCGCTCTCTGGTCTCGCTCTCTAGTCTCGCTCTCTGGTCTCGCTCTCTGGTCTCGCTCTCTGGTCGCTCTCTGGTCGCGCTCTCTGGTCGCGCTCTCTGGTCTCGGTCTCGCTCTCTGGTCTCGGTCTCGCTCTCTGGTCTCGGTCTCGCTCTCTGGTCTCGGTCTCGCTCTCTGGTCTCGCTCTCTGGTCTCGGTCTCTGGTCTCGGTCTCGCTCTCTGGTCTCGCTCTCTGGTCTCGGTCTCGCTCTCTGGTCTCGCTCTCTGGTCTCGCTCTCTGGTCTCGCTCTCTGGTCTCGCTCTCTGGTCTCGCTCTCTGGTCTCGGTCTCGCTCTCTGGTCTCGCTCTCTGGTCTCGCTCTCTGGTCTCGCTCTCTGGTCTCGGTCTCGCTCTCTGGTCTCGCTCTCTGGTCTCGGTCTCGCTCTCTGGTCTTGCTCTCTGGTCTCACTCTCTGGTCTCGCTCTCTGGTCTCGCTCTCTGGTCTCGCTCTCTGGTCTCGCTCTCTGGTCTCGCTCTCTGGTCTCGCTCTCTGGTCTCGCTCTCTGGTCGCTCTCTGGTCGCGCTCTCTGGTCGCGCTCTCTGGTCTCGGTCTCGCTCTCTGGTCTCGGTCTCGCTCTCTGGTCTCGCTCTCTGGTCTCGGTCTCGCTCTCTGGTCTCGCTCTCTGGTCTCGGTCTCGCTCTCTGGTCTCGCTCTCTGGTCTCGCTCTCTGGTCTCGCTCTCTGGTCTCGCTCTCTGGTCTCGCTCTCTGGTCTCGCTCTCTGGTCTCGCTCTCTGGTCTCGGTCTCGCTCTCTGGTCTCGCTCTCTGGTCTCGGTCTCGCTCTCTGGTCTCGCTCTCTGGTCTCGCTCTCTGGTCTCGCTCTCTGGTCTCGCTCTCTGGTCTCGCTCTCTGGTCTCGCTCTCTGGTCTCGCTCTCTGGTCTCGCTCTCTGGTCTCGCTCTCTGGTCTCGCTCTCTGGTCTCGCTCTCTGGTCTCGCTCTCTCTGGTCTCGCTCTCTGGTCTCGCTCTCTGGTCTCACTCTCTGGTCTCGCTCTCTGGTCTCGCTCTCTGGTCTCGCTCTCTGGTCTCGCTCTCTGGTCTCGCTCTCTGGTCTCGCTCTCTGGTCTCGCTCTCTGGTCGCTCTCTGGTCGCGCTCTCTGGTCGCGCTCTCTGGTCTCGGTCTCGCTCTCTGGTCTCGGTCTCGCTCTCTGGTCTCGCTCTCTGGTCTCGCTCTCTGGTCTCGCTCTCTGGTCTCGGTCTCGCTCTCTGGTCTCGCTCTCTGGTCTCGGTCTCGCTCTCTGGTCTCGCTCTCTGGTCTCGCTCTCTGGTCTCGCTCTCTGGTCTCGCTCTCTGGTCTCGCTCTCTGGTCTCGCTCTCTGGTCTCGCTCTCTGGTCTCGCTCTCCTCTGGTCTCGCTCTCTGGTCTCGCTCTCTGGTCTCGCTCTCTGGTCTCGCTCTCTGGTCTCGCTCTCTGGTCTCGCTCTCTGGTCTCGCTCTCTGGTCTCGCTCTCTGGTCTCGCTCTCTGGTCTCGCTCTCTGGTCTCGCTCTCTGGTCTCGCTCTCTGGTCTCGCTCTCTGGTCTCGCTCTCTGGTCTCGCTCTCTGGTCTCGCTCTCTGGTCTCGCTCTCTGGTCTCGCTCTCTGGTCTCTCGCTCTCTGGTCTCTCGCTCTCTGGTCTTGCTCTCTGGTCTCGCTCTCGCTCTCTGGTCTCGCTCTCTGGTCTCGCTCTCTGGTCTCTCGCTCTCTGGTCTCGCTCTCTGGTCTCGGTCTCGCTCTCTGGTCTCGCTCTCTGGTCTCGCTCTCTGGTCTCGCTCTCTGGTCTCGCTCTCTGGTCTCGGTCTCGCTCTCTGGTCTCGCTCTCTGGTCTCGCTCTCTGGTCTCGCTCTCTGGTCTCGCTCTCTGGTCTCGCTCTCTGGTCTCACTCTCTGGTCTCGCTCTCTGGTCTCGCTCTCTGGTCTCGCTCTCTGGTCTCGCTCTCTGGTCTCGCTCTCTGGTCTCGCTCTCTGGTCTCGCTCTCTGGTCGCGCTCTCTGGTCTCGGTCTCGCTCTCTGGTCTCGGTCTCGCTCTCTGGTCTCGCTCTCTGGTCTCGCTCTCTGGTCTCGGTCTCGCTCTCTGGTCTCGCTCTCTGGTCTCGGTCTCGCTCTCTGGTCTCGCTCTCTGGTCTCGCTCTCTGGTCTCGCTCTCTGGTCTCGCTCTCTGGTCTCGCTCTCTGGTCTCGCTCTCTGGTCTCGGTCTCGCTCTCTGGTCTCGCTCTCTGGTCTCGGTCTCGCTCTCTGGTCTCGCTCTCTGGTCTCGCTCTCTGGTCTCGCTCTCTGGTCTCGCTCTCTGGTCTCGCTCTCTGGTCTCGGTCTCGCTCTCTGGTCTCGCTCTCTGGTCTCACTCTCTGGTCTCGCTCTCTGGTCTCGCTCTCTGGTCTCGCTCTCTGGTCTCGCTCTCTGGTCTTGCTCTCTGGTCTCACTCTCTGGTCTCGCTCTCTGGTCTCGCTCTCTGGTCTCGCTCTCTGGTCTCGCTCTCTGGTCTCGCTCTCTGGTCTCGCTCTCTGGTCTCGCTCTCTGGTCTCGCTCTCTGGTCGCTCTCTGGTCGCGCTCTCTGGTCGCGCTCTCTGGTCTCGGTCTCGCTCTCTGGTCTCGGTCTCGCTCTCTGGTCTCGGTCCGGTCTCGCTCTCTGGTCTCGGTCTCGCTCTCTGGTCTCGCTCTCTGGTCTCGCTCTCTGGTCTCGGTCTCTGGTCTCGGTCTCGCTCTCTGGTCTCGCTCTCTGGTCTCGGTCTCGCTCTCTGGTCTCGCTCTCTGGTCTCGCTCTCTGGTCTCGCTCTCTGGTCTCGCTCTCTGGTCTCGCTCTCTGGTCTCGCTCTCTGGTCTCGCTCTCTGGTCTCGGTCTCGCTCTCTGGTCTCGCTCTCTGGTCTCACTCTCTGGTCTCGCTCTCTGGTCTCGCTCTCTGGTCTCGCTCTCTGGTCTCGCTCTCTGGTCTTGCTCTCTGGTCTCACTCTCTGGTCTCGCTCTCTGGTCTCGCTCTCTGGTCTCGCTCTCTGGTCTCGCTCTCTGGTCTCGCTCTCTGGTCTCGCTCTCTGGTCTCGCTCTCTGGTCTCGCTCTCTGGTCTCGCTCTCTGGTCGCTCTCTGGTCGCGCTCTCTGGTCGCGCTCTCTGGTCTCGGTCTCGCTCTCTGGTCTCGGTCTCGCTCTCTGGTCTCGGTCTCGCTCTCTGGTCTCGGTCTCGCTCTCTGGTCTCGCTCTCTGGTCTCGCTCTCTGGTCTCGCTCTCTGGTCTCGGTCTCTGGTCTCGGTCTCGCTCTCTGGTCTCGCTCTCTGGTCTCGGTCTCGCTCTCTGGTCTCGCTCTCTGGTCTCGCTCTCTGGTCTCGCTCTCTGGTCTCGCTCTCTGGTCTCGCTCTCTGGTCTCGCTCTCTGGTCTCGGTCTCGCTCTCTGGTCTCGCTCTCTGGTCTCGCTCTCTGGTCTCGGTCTCGCTCTCTGGTCTCGCTCTCTGGTCTCGGTCTCGCTCTCTGGTCTTGCTCTCTGGTCTCACTCTCTGGTCTCGCTCTCTGGTCTCGCTCTCTGGTCTCGCTCTCTGGTCTCGCTCTCTGGTCTCGCTCTCTGGTCTCGCTCTCTGGTCTCGCTCTCTGGTCGCTCTCTGGTCGCGCTCTCTGGTCGCGCTCTCTGGTCTCGGTCTCGCTCTCTGGTCTCGGTCTCGCTCTCTGGTCTCGCTCTCTGGTCTCGCTCTCTGGTCTCGGTCTCGCTCTCTGGTCTCGCTCTCTGGTCTCGGTCTCGCTCTCTGGTCTCGCTCTCTGGTCTCGCTCTCTGGTCTCGCTCTCTGGTCTCGCTCTCTGGTCTCGCTCTCTGGTCTCGGTCTCGCTCTCTGGTCTCGCTCTCTGGTCTCGGTCTCGCTCTCTGGTCTCGCTCTCTGGTCTCGCTCTCTGGTCTCGCTCTCTGGTCTCGCTCTCTGGTCTCGGTCTCGCTCTCTGGTCTCGCTCTCTGGTCTCGGTCTCGCTCTCTGGTCTCGCTCTCTGGTCTCCTCTCTGGTCTCGCTCTCTGGTCTCGCTCTCTGGTCTTGCTCTCTGGTCTCGCTCTCTGGTCTCGATCTCGCTCTCTGGTCTCGCTCTCTGGTCTCGCTCTCTGGTCTCGCTCTCTGGTCTCGCTCCCTGGTCTCGCTCTCTGGTCTCACTCTCTGGTCTCGCTCTCTGGTCTCGCTCTCTGGTCTCGCTCTCTGGTCTCGCTCTCTGGTCTCGCTCTCTGGTCTCGCTCTCTGGTCTCGCTCTCTGGTCTCGCTCTCTGGTCGCTCTCTGGTCGCGCTCTCTGGTCGCGCTCTCTGGTCTCGGTCTCGCTCTCTGGTCTCGGTCTCGCTCTCTGGTCTCGCTCTCTGGTCTCGCTCTCTGGTCTCGGTCTCGCTCTCTGGTCTCGCTCTCTGGTCTCGGTCTCGCTCTCTGGTCTCGCTCTCTGGTCTCGCTCTCTGGTCTCGCTCTCTGGTCTCGCTCTCTGGTCTCGCTCTCTGGTCTCGCTCTCTGGTCTCGCTCTCTGGTCTCGGTCTCGCTCTCTGGTCTCGCTCTCTGGTCTCGGTCTCGCTCTCTGGTCTCGCTCTCTGGTCTCGCTCTCTGGTCTCGCTCTCTGGTCTCGCTCTCTGGTCTCGCTCTCTGGTCTCTCTCTGGTCTCTCTCTGGTCTCTCTCTCTGGTCTCTCTCTGGTCTCTCTCTGGTCTCTCTCTGGTCTCGCTCTCTGGTCTCTCTCTGGTCTCTCTCTGGTCTCTCTCTGGTCTCTCTCTGGTCTCTCTCTGGTCTCTCTCTGGTCTCGCTCTCTGGTCTCGCTCTCTGGTCTCTCTCTGGTCTCTCTCTGGTCTCTCTCTGGTCTCTCTCTGGTCTCTCTCTGGTCTCGCTCTCTGGTCTCTCTCTGCTCCCTCTGGTCTCACCTGTTGGTTAATGGTCCGATGAAGGGATTGGTAATAAGCTGCATTGCGGCTTTGGAGGCGAAGAGTAGTCCCACTTTGACGTTCTCGTTGACGAGGCTGGAGCTTGAACAGTTGGAGGGGCTCCCAGATGGTCCGGTCGGGGCCAGGGTCTGGGTCTGGGTCTGGGTCTGGGTCTGGGTCTGGGTCTGGGTCTGGGTCTGGGTCTGGGTCTGGGTTGGGGTCTGGGTCACGTTGGTGGACGGTATGACCGAGTTGTCATACAGAGACACAATGTTCTGGAAGACGGGAGAGCTGGTGTTGGGACCAGCAGTCTCTCTGATGTCCAGCTGGTACAGGTAGTTTGGGATGATTGGCACTGAGGAGACCAGGAAGGAAGGGAGGACAGGTGTTTATATAGCACACATTACTCACAAAGCTCAAAGCATTTTCAACAATACACAGAAACTGTATTCATATGTACAAGGTTCACACCATCCAAACCTTTCCTGTCAGGTCTGGCCCATCTCTGGTCTCTCTCTGGTCTCTCGCTCTGGTCTCTCTCGCTGGTCTCTCGCTGGTCTCTCTCTGGTCACTCAATATAGTCTCTCTCTCTCTCTCTGGTCTCTATGGTCTCCCTCTATTCTCTCTTTATTCTCTTTTAAGTCTCTCTCTGGTCCTTTTCTTGTGTCTCTATGGTCTCTCTCAGATCTCTCTTTTCTGGTCTCTGTCTGGTCTCACTCTGGTCTCTGGACCCTCTCTGGTCTCACTCTGATCTCTCTCTGGTCTCACTCTGGTCTCTGGTCCCTCTCTGGTCCCTCTCTGGTCCCTCTCTGGTCTCCCTCTGGTCTCACTCTGGTCCCTCTCTGGTCTCACTCTGGTCTCTCTCTGGTCTCACTCTGGTCTCTCTCTGGTCTCACTCTGGTCTCTCTCTGGTCTCTCTCTGGTCTCTCTCTGGTCTCTCTCTGGTCTCTCTCTGGTCTCCCTCTGAAACAAGGATAAAGACAATAAAATCCTTTTAGCTAACAGAGCATGAAAGTCACATTTCCAGTATTTACACTCAAAAACGGTGATGATGACTTAGTGGGAGGAGTGGTGTGTGTGTGTGTGTGTGTGTGTGTGTGTGTGTCTCTGTGTGTGTGTGTCTGTGTGTGTGTGTGTGTGTGTGTGTGTGTGTGTGTGTGTGTGTGTGTGTGTGTGTGTGTGTGTGTGTGTGTGTGTGTCTCTGTGTGTGTGTTCAGGTATCTACAGGAACTCGAGGCTTTAACAATCAGTGAGAT